GGGGGGGGGGGGGGGGGGGGAAACCAAACCCCCCCCAAAGGGGGGTTTGCTTTTTTTTTTTTTTTTTTTTTTAAAGCTTTTGCTGTTTCGCAAACAGGCTCCCAGCAGGTTTTAGGATCTAAAGAATTTGGAAAGGCACCTCGGGAGTGGAAATAATCCTAGAAGGCTTGGGGCAAGGGGCAGGTCCAAAGGGATGGCCTGGTTGCTTAGCCGATAAAGTAATAAATACTACTAACTTTATCATGAGAGTAACTTAAAACTCAAGGGAAAAAAAATAGCGAAAACACGTTTAATCCTACCTAGCTGTCAAATCCTGTTTTCAGTTAACTATACCACTTCCCAGGTTATCCTCCATAACTTTTAAATAGTTGTAAATAAACTGTGTCCTTTTTTCACTTAATGCTTGTTACTTCGTGGTCTTCATATTTATTTATTTTTACTGGCTATCTTGTAGGACATTAGCTTGCTACACCTTTAACTTATAAAATCATTTTCCTGTTAGAGATTCGGGTTCTTTTCTATTTTCCTTTTCAGTGCTGTTACATGAATTTGCTAAAAACATCTTTATGCTTATAGATTTTTTTTTTTTTTGCTGTTGCACTGTTTCTGTGGAATCATTTGCAGGAGTAACAGTGTTTTTTCTTTCCAGAAAACTGATTGGGAGGTAGCTATTAAAAGTATTAATAAAAAGAACTTGTCAAAATCACAAATACTGCTTGGGAAGGAAATTAAAATCTTAAAGGTATGTTTCTTTATGTGATACTTCATACTAGATTAAAACTTAAATGGATACATGATGACATCCTTTGCAATTTTGGTAGTTGGCCCCAAGTTTGAGAATGTTCACCTGTTGCTCTCATTTTTTGCATGCTCAATTTTTTGAAACATTTGAGTGCTGGGAAGCTGTTTTTAAGAATAGATGTTTGTGGCTCTTGGCCAGTGCTTAGAGGGATTAGATGAAAACTGCTTTTAGCTTCTCATCATTTCTTTCCCTTAGTTATTGCCTTATTGTTTGAGAAGAGGCAGGTCCCTCTTACACATTATTTATCTCTTCTGCTGATTCCTTTCATGTTATAGTTAGTTTTTTTTGGCGGGGGGAGAAATGGGGGCAGTTGGAATCTTTCTTCCTTATAAATTGAACAAAGTTACTTTCCTTGGAAGTGGTCTTTTTATTTTTATTTATTTATTTAAAGTGGTCTTTTTAGATCACTCACAAGCAGTTATCCAAGTGGGATGCTTTGAGGGAAAAAAAGAGTCCGTGGTCAAATAAGTGTGGAAAATCCTGTTTACTAAATACTTCTTGGAGAGTGACAAAGCACTTGACTCATTAAAGAAAGTCGAAAAAAATTATACAATGAAGAGACCAATTTAGGTGTGTTTAACCCAGTGTTTCCCAAAGTAATATAAACATGGAACCTTCATCTAACAACATTCATCAGAACTACTATTCTTTGGACAGCTCTTTGGTAAGAATTATAGCTTGTTGAAGTATACTTCGTGTTCTTTTAGGCAAATCATGCTTTTTAAAAGCACTTTGGAATTTTATGCCTTTCTTGTTAGAAATTGTTTATTAAATCTGAAAGACTAGCAGAAAGTATGTAGTCATACTAACTCTGACCTTTATTTTGTAAATGAGAGTACTCACCTTGTTAAGAGTCTAAAAAATTAGGACAGTAAAAAAATATTTAGGCCCCAAGTAAAGTTTGATCAGGCACATTTGTTTTTATTCTTCAGTAGACTGAATTGTTCTAATCTAGTAACAGGAGTATGGTACACTAGCAGTAGTGTAAATGGATATATATGTGTGTGTATACTGAATTTTATTTGTGTATTGAAATATTATAATTATTAGAATAAATACAAATATTTTGAATTCTCGATTTTCTTAACAGGAACTTCAGCATGAAAACATTGTAGCGCTCTATGATGTTCAGGTACCTTATTTTGGATTTTTAAAGAAATATTTGTATGTTAATAAAGAACTTAAATTTTTTTTCTATTTCATACAAATGTAAGTGAATCTTAACAGAAATAGAAAATTGCCTTATTCTTGTTGAAAAGATATATAGCTTGAGCTGTGTGTTTATTAATTAAGAATTTGTTTGCAATAGCATAGGGCAGAAGGATAAAATAAATAATGGGCTGCATGAGTAAACTTACTGACAGATAATATACTATAGGAGTAGTGTTGTCTTAGGTCAAGTCCAGATCTAGCATCTCTGTGATAAATGTAGAAAGGACTATTTTGAGCTATTAAAGAAATCAGGTAGAGCTTTTTTCTTATTGCAAAAGCAACATTTGCTAATGGTGGAGATATTAGACAATACGTGGAATAAAAACAAAGAAACTCTGCATATTCATCTAGATTTGTCTGGGATTATCGCCATGGCATACAGTAGAGTTGCATTGTATGTGGAGGTGGGAAGGCTGGGTTCCGAAGTTACCTTCTTTTTTTTTCTTTTAATAAATTTATTTATTTTATTTATTTTTATTTTTGGCTGTGTTGTGTCTCCGTTGCTGTGCTCGTGTTTTCTCCAGTTGCGGCAAGCAGGAGCTACTCTTCATCGTGGTGCGCGGGCTTCTCATTGCGGTGGCTTCTCTTGTGGCTCCCGGGCTCTAGGTGTGTGGGCTTCAGTAGTTGTGGCTCACGGGCTCAGTTGCTCTGCGGCATGTGGGATCTTCCCGGACCAGGGCTCAAACCCGTGTCCCCCTGCACTGGCAGGCGGATTCCTAACCACTGCACCACCAGGGAAGTCCTCAGAAGTTACCTTCTAAGGCAGCATTTCTATATAGTCAAAATTACCCTTGGAAATCCTTTTAAAAAGGCCAACTTTGGAGAAAATTCCTGTTTTTTGGGTGGAGCACCAGAGCAAGTAGTTGGCTTATATTTAGGGGCCATATTGTGTTTTATAAATCCCTGAATACTGGAATCACACTTGGCCAGTGGTATGCACCCAGTGAGAGCCGCAGGGGTCTGATACTGATGAGCACACGTGAGGTTTGAGGGGCTACGGTGGCCAGGCGTTTTTAAGTGCAAGGAACAAAGGAGCAAAGCCGTGAGTAGAACGAAGTCCTTGCTCTTAGTGTGCTTAATTTTAGCGGACTGCTCTCTATATGTCCTTTAAAAAATATATATAGTCGTTTTTCATGTCATGTCATACCACAGAGTATTTATATTTAACTAAACCCATGTTATAAGATGTTAAAGTTTTTCCCATTTAAAAAAAAAATGCTACGAGGAGAATACATACCTTCTGAAGATACCCAATTATTTCTTGTAAGTTGAATTTCTAGAATTGGAATTACTAGGAAAAATAGCATGAACAGTTTTAAAGTTTTTGATAGCAGTGTGTGATTGTTCTCCAAAAATGTTGCAGTTTAAACTCCACGCACAGAATATGTGCATGCTGTGGGTATAGTTTATTACCTATTTAAATAGGTGTAATTTACTCCTTCATTTGAGAAATTTCAAAGCAGCCTAGAAAGAAAGGGGAAAAAAGTTTAAAGTAAAACTGATCTGATGTCACAGTCCCTATTGAAATGTCGGTTCTCCTCAGAGCTGTTTGTGTAGTTGTTTTAGTCTCGGTAGATAGAGGGCACCACGTGGTACAAGTCAGCGCCTCGTACAAAAATTGTTAAATAATATTAACTCTTAATTTCCCATCTTTTGAGAAGTGCAGAAAACCCTGTCAGTTTCAGAGTAGGTCTTGCTTTCAGGGTAGAGAGAGAGTGTAGTTGGATTTTTTCTCTCAGAATGAGAAATATTTAAAAGTACTGGTTTTGGCTGCAGAATGAGGTAGCGTCAGGGAGAATATGTACTCAGAAACCAGCGTTATGGAGCAGTCTGGAATGTCAGGGTGACTGCGTGAGCGTGTTTACTGTTTTGTGCATTGTGTACTCCTGGAACTGATTTGTAAAAATAAGCTTAAGAACTATTAGTCAGATGAATCTAGTCTTCAGCATTTGGCTGTCAAGTAAACAGAGTTTGGATTTGCTTCCTGGATTCCGACTGTTTATCAAGGGGTACAGGGTGTTGGCACCGTTCTCACTGGCCATCTCTTGTGGAGGTCCACCTCAAGTTTGTGCGCACTTTGATGAATTGAGAACTTTTGACATTGTTTGTAGTGATCAGGTTTCAGTTTGGATGACACTTAAAAAGAAACACATTTTCCCTAATTACAAAAGTATTATATGCCCACAGTTAATATATTCCAACATTGTCAACACAAATAAATTGGAAAAGACATGGCACTTCCCAGAGATAACCACTGTTTGTTATGTTTATTTTAGAGTTTTCTAAATAGATATATGAATCTATAATCAAGTGGGAGGAGGCCGGGCTCCAGTGGGGGTGGGGAGAACAGGTCAGCTTCCCATGCAGATGCGGCCTCTGGGAGGAGCTGACAGAAGGGACGAGCTAGCATGAGGACCTGGAAGATGGGATGTGGTGGGAGTGCAGACGGGAGGTAGGAGTAGTGCCAAGTGATGCAGGAGAGGGTGGAGGGGCCACATGGGGTGGATCTCTAGTTTGAGGACAGTGCAGAGCCATTTGGAGGGTGATATCATGTCTGTTTTTCAGAAGATACATATCTTTGAGCATTCTGGGCATGAGATAAATATTGTTAGTTGGGAATACTTCCCTGCATGAATGTCAGTGATCTGGGTAAACATCCACCTCTTGGTAATTTTTAGTATAGTGAGAAAAAGATGCATTTCATAGATGGTGCTGGCAAACTGAGACAAAATGAAGTTGGATGTCTATTTTCATCATTTTCCAAAATAACTTTTAGATGAATTAAAGGCTTAAATATGTAATCTAAGAGCTAGAAAGGTATTTTAAGTCAAGATAAACTCAGAAGCCATAAAAGTGGTAGGGACATACAAAATTTTTAAAAAATTATTTCTTAGCAAATAATATTATGAACAAATTGACAGCCATAAAAAGGAACAAACTTGATACTTGCCATAACATATGAATCTCAAACATTATGTTGAGAAAAAGAAGCCAGCTATATACAGCTACTGTGTGATTCTGTTTTTGTGAGTTTCAAGAGGAGACGGGACTCAGCTAGGGTGATAGAAATCGGGGAAAGCAGATCAGAGGTTGCTACTTGGTATCAGGGATGGACAGAAAAGGGGTATTTGGGAACTTTCTGAGCTGATTGAAATGTTCTGTATTTTGACTGGAAGGGTAGTTATGTGGGTGTATACATGTGTCACAAGTCTTTGTACACTTAAATCTATACCACAGTAAATGCAAAAACATGCAGTTGACGAATGGCAGTTTGAGAAAATATGTACAACCTGAAAGGTGACGGGCTGACACCTAAAATGCATAAACCTCACAAATAAAGGAAAAGACAACCCAAAGAGGAAGTGAGCAAAGGATACAAATTGTTGGTTCTTATAAGAGAAATAAAAATGGCTAAGAAATGCATGATATTCATGAACAAGTAGGGAAATGTAAATTAAGGTAACAGATGTCACTTCTCAGCCTTCCGGTGGGCAAAATTAAAAAGTGCAGTAATTCTTACTGATGGGATTGGGGGGAGGTGTAAGCTATTCTCCTGTGTCACTGGCACAAATGTGAACTGCTAGAATGTTTTGGGGATGCTGTCTGGCGACACCTTGCCCCCATGCCCTGAAGAATAGTCCTGACACTGCGGTCAGAGCCCTCCCCCCCCCACCCCCGTAGTGCAGGTAGGGCATGTCCCTCCTCTGTGCGGACCCCATTCCTGTGAGTGAAAGCGCAACCCCGTTGCCCCTGCCTCTGGCTCCCCTGCTCTGTGCTTCGCTGCTTGTGTTCCGTCCACTCGGGCTTCCTTGTGGTTCCTGGAGTGCCGTGTCCCCTACAGGGAGACTGTATGCACAGGACGGTCTCCATGTCTGTAGCCTGCACAGGCACGCCCCAGCCCCCTTTAGGTCCTTCTTCAAGCGCTGTGCTCTCAGGGACGCTTTCTTTAGCCACCTAAATAAAACTGCCGTCCCTTCCCAGCTCGGTCTCCCCTCCTCCCAAGCACCTATCACCTCTAACGTGCTCTGCATACGTATTTCTTCCGTTTGTTGTCTTGCGCCTGACCCTCCCTTCTTAGAATTGAAGACTGGGGAGAACAGGGCATTTAACTCTGTTGGCTTTCTGCTGTATCCTCAGGACCTGGAATAGTGTCTTGTATATAATAGGTAGTTAGAAAATCTTTCAATGAGGAGAAATATCTGTCATCATTAGAAATACACACCCTTTTACTAAGCAACCCAGATTCCTGGGCATCTATCCCAGAGCCATAAAAGCTTGAGAATTAGGATGTATGTCCAAGAACCAATATAGCTTTGCTTATAATGGCCCAAACTAGAAACAAGTGATGTTCCTTAGCAAGGGAATAGCTTAATAAATGGTGATATAGTCACACTATGACATATAACACACTTATGAAAAAGAGTTGTCTGTATGTAGTTGACCTGGCGGGATTTCTTTGGTGTATTATTGAGTGAGGAAAGCAAGGTTCAGACATCTATATATGATACCCCGTTTTTTCAAAGTAAAGTATGTGTATGTTTAACTTATGACTGTATGAGTAGAAGAAAGATATGGAAGGATATTAAAATTTAAAAAACCTAGCATGTACATGCTTCCTTTGGGTATGAATATGTGTACAAGTATTATAGATGCATGAAAGCAAGACCACTAAGATATTAATAGCGCTTCTTTCAAATGGTGAGATTAAGGTGATTTTTTAACTTTCTTCCTTCAGATTTTATGTATCTTAAGTTTTTGCAATAAGCACTTTTTTTTATAATCAAGAAAAAAAGCAATTTTCTTCTTTTGGGGAAAGGGGAAAACCTACTTTTGCTTCTTTCTGTAATCCTTGGGCAATCTTCTGATTATGAATTAGCATTCCAGGTATTTTTATGCCAGTTAGGGAGTATATATAGAGAGAGTATTAGACCTAATCATTGTGGTTAGAGAAAGACATATTCTCCATTATAAATTAACAGGCATACGAGTTTCTTAAAGTGTGTAAAACACTGGCTGCTCTGTGGAGAGTGGGCACGGGTGGATATGGGGCCACCATGCTGCAGGTGTTTGGGTGGGTGAAGGTACCAGTGGAAACGGGGAGGCCTGGACAGATGGATGGAATGTCTAGGAGGCTGGGTTGATAGGACTTGGGTCCTGTAGGAGGTGAAGGAGAGGGAGTCAGAGTTGGCAGCTCTTTGTCGTTTGTGTTGAAGTGGTTTCCCCAGCCCTCTGCTCTGCTCCCTGCCCCTTCCTTGGGTTCCATTAATTTGCTAGAGTGGCTCACAAAACTCCGAGAAAACTTACCAGATTACTGGTTTATTATAAAAGGGTGTAACACAGGAACAGCCAGATGGAAGAGATGCTTAGGGCAAGGTATCCACCCTGAGTGGGCCACTCTCACCAGATTTCATCATGTTCACCATCCTGGAAGCTTTTGGAAGCTTGTCCTTCTGGTTTTTTACGGAGGCTTCATTATAGAAGAGGAATTTCTGGATCATAGGCTATGCATAGGCCTAGCTTATACTGCCCGCATATTGGCTTACGCTCCCACCACATTTTGTCAGTTTGTCACGCCACATCCTTGCCACCACTCGGCAGTGTTTGCCATTCAGGTGATGAGGTGTCTTATTATGATTGTGATTAGCGTTTTCCTGATGATTCCTGATTTGAGTACCTTTTGTAAGTTTATTAGTCATTTAAATATCTTTTTGAAATTCCTATAGAAGCTTGTTTTTCTATTGGGTTGTCTTTTTGTTATTAATTTGTTAGAGTTCTTTATATATTGTGGATATGAGTCGTTTGACAGATATGAGTGTTGTGAATGACTTACCCACGCTGACTTGCCTTTTTGCTATCTTAATCGTTTGTTTTGGTGAGTAGAAATTCTTAATTTTAATGTAGTCCAGTGTATTGTTTCTTCCTTTTGTATTTAGTGCTTTTGTGTCATATTTAAGAAAACTTTGCCCACCCTAGGGTCATGAGGATGTTCTTTGTTTTTCCCCAGAGTCTTTATTGTTTTATCTGGCACATTTAGCTCTGTAATCTACCTGGAAATGATTTTGTATGTGGCGTGAGGTAGGGGTCACAATGCATTTACTTTTACAAAGGGGAGCCAGTTGATCTTCTGCTGCACCGACATCCTTCCCTTCTGTACTGTCATCTCTGCATTACAAGCTCACATGTGGGGGCCTGTTTCTAGACTCTTTTCTGTCCCCTTAGCCTTTACCTCACTGTCTTTTTCAGTATAGTTTTATGATATCTAGTATCATACTTGATACCTAGTAGTATAAATCCTCCAACTTTTATTTTTCTTTTTCTGCATGATATTTAGTTATTCTTTGCCTTTTGCATTTCCACATACATTTTGGAATCAACTTGTCAACTTCCACACATGCACAAAACCTCCTTCAATTTTGATTGGGACTGTACTGAAACTTAAGGAGAATTTCTTTGTGGAAAGGTTTTAAATTATAATTCACTTCCTTTAACAGACACATACCTTTTCAAATTTTCTACTTCTTGTCAGTTTTAGTCAGTTGCGTTTTTCCTCAAATTGTTTTTTTTTGTTTGTTTGTTTGTTTGTTTTTTGCGGTACGCAGGCCTCTCACTGTTGTGGCCTCTCCCGTTGCGGAGCACAGGCTCCGGACGCGCAGGCTCAGCGGCCATGGCTCACGGGCCCCGCCGCTCCGCGGCTTGTGGGATCTTCCCGGACCGGGGCACGAACCCGTGTCCCCTGCATCAGCAGGCGGACTCCCAACCACTGCGCCACCAGGGAAGCCCCCTCAAATTGTTTTTCAGTGTATTCGTTTCATTCAAATTTTGGCATACTGGCATTGAGTTGTTCATAATGATATCCTTTTTTTCCCCTTCTTTTTAGAGAATAGGGTTTTTTTTTTATCAAGTTAATAAGGACTTTGAGTAGGGAAATGATAAAATGAAATTCATTATGTTTAGTTTTGTTGGTGGAAGTTCTGGGGAGTAGTTGAGGATGTGGATGTCTTAATATTAGAAGGAAGGGTAAATATATATTCAGCTTTGGAAAACCCTTGGTGTGGTCTGGCTCACAGGTATGTTGGCCTCACTTCTCAGCCTTTCTGACCCTACAGGCATTTCTTAGTTCCCTGGGTTCCAGTACCGTTTCAGTTTTGATTTGTATATAGATGGCTTGATTGGTTTTGCTAAAAAATGAACGTTTTTTTCTCCTTCCTTTGCTGACTCTTCCTGGCTCTTGCAGCTCCTCCTGCTGCAAGTTACTCCGGTGCTTCATGTAAAGGACGGGCCTTTACGCGAGGGGGTTGTTGGAGAGAATGATTGAATCTGTGGAGATTTTCATTGCTTCAAAGGTGGGCAAAAGAAGGTCTGCCCGAGAAGTCAAAGATATTAAAGTATTTCTGTCTTATTTATTGAATGAGTGAGTGAATGTTTGGGGAAACTAAGTGGTTATGTGTACCCCCAAAATTGTGAAAACCAGGACAGGAATGTGTCTTTGTCATATTAAAGGAACAGAAGTTCTTTGTGTCTCCTTAGCCTCCCCTTAGGAGTCCCTCGCTCTCTTTCCTCTGCAGTAGCTAGGGTATGGTGCTCCTACATGATGAAACAACACTGGTTTGAGATCAGATTTTTGTATTTTATGCTTGAGAAGAAGAAAATTTTGTTGAAAGTTATGTTTAATGATTTCTCATGTGATAAAATGTCTTCCCTTTGCCAGCAATTCCCAAGTAATGTGATTACCTTCAAATATACAGAAAAACCAGAAAAACAAAGAACTAAGCATCCTGGATCATGTATTCCAGAACTCAGATTGTGCATTTAGTGTTGCTAGGGAGGATTTATCAAGTCATTGCTCCAAATCGTAAACTTTTCAAAGTGGAAGTGCTTCCTTGAGGGCCAGAGAATCCTTCCTTTTTTCCACAAGTGGTAAATTTACCATAACCATAACCAAAAGATGAATCTTTCTTCCAAAAGATGAATCTTTCTTTAGTTCTTTCCATGAATAGAATTGAACTTTTTGATGACTACATTAGTGTCATTGAAGCTGAGGTGCTATGTCATTGTTTTGGGGATTTTAAATTTCACTTACGAATGGATTTTGTGAGTTCATTTTACTTGTTTAAAATGGACACATGTACTTTTTTTTATTAACTGTCATTATTTTTTAAATTTGTGCTTAATTTTTTCTCTAATCTAAACCATATTTAATATGTTTACTTTCAGGAATTACCCAACTCTGTCTTTCTGGTGATGGAGGTAGGTAGTATACAGGTTTCTGTTTAATTTATTTCAAATTTCTTTTGATTAATAGGTACTTTAAAATTGATGGTAGGTTATTTGAAAATTTGGATTAATAAAGTTGATTCAGTGATTTAGATTCTATTTTATAAGGAATATAAAATTTTAAAATGTTGATTCTATAATTCTTATAATTTGTGAGACTAGATTTATATTATATACAAATGTATTTTTAATTAAAGTTAACTGATAATGAATTGAATTAAGCTTGAAGCAGTGTCTTATTTTAATTACTTTTTCTTTTATATATCAGTATTGCAATGGTGGAGACCTGGCAGATTATTTGCAAGGTAATTTTTTTTACTTTGTCAGTGTTCAGTGTAGTAATGTAGTCTGTTTAGTCTTCATTTACTTCTGAAATATGCTACCTCTGTTTTCTGTACTTGTATAGAAACATTCAATAAATATTTGTGTATGTGTAATTGTGGCCACTTTGCTGACTGACTGTCATTTGTTGTGGTTTTGCTCCTAAACTTTGCTTGTGTATAAGTACTTGTTTATGTGTGCCTCTCTTGGACAGTTTGAGAGGTAGGGCCTCTCCCCAAAAGAGAAAAACCAACAGAATTTCTCTTCAAAAGACACTAGTGGGCTGCTGTCAGTGAACCTTTAGTCCATTTCATTTACTTCACAGAAACAAAACAAAACAAAGCAAACCAGAATGGAAGAATGTATCCAAGAATGTGTTTATTAATGTGAATGTTGCTCATAAGTTTTAAAAAATGTTATAAGGGATTAAGTGTAACCTTGAAATTATTATGTGGCCCAGAGGTAAGATGTTTTGTGGCCCAGGGGTAAGATTTTAGTACTAGATGTTGCTAGTATCTAAAGTGTATTCATGTAGGACAGTAAGTGCTCAAATCAAATTGTGTCCCTCAAAAGTGCTTTTTAAAATGACGTTAGGTGAGGCCAGCACCTACATTCTCTCCCCTTAAAGATACACGGGGAGTAGGCAAAACGGGAGAGGTTCGTCACTCAGCCTAGAAACAGGCCATGGCAGTTGATTGTAAAAACACTAAGACATCAGTAAATACACCCACAAAGGGTATGGACAGTTTACAGAAGAGAAACAACATATTTCAAATGTTCAAGTAAACGAGGAGTGCAATTAAAAATGAGATTTTAAAAATCTTTAAAATATATTGCTGAGATTTGGAAAGCCATGTAGAAATAATGTAAAGAACACAAGGATTACTCCTTCTAAATACAGCTGAGGCTCCTGTAGGCCCTTCTGTGATCCTGCTCCGGTCCCTCCCGCTCAGAGACAGCCATTATCCTGAACTCAGGAGTTTAGTCCATGTGTGTTTTTGTTTTTGTATTTCCCTGAGATTCTTTTTTAAGAAATTCTCAGTCTGATGAAAAGATTTTTCAAAATGTCATTTCCTAGTGGATACCATGCAGAGACAGGCACTTTCTTCACTGCTGGGGGAGAGGAGTTGGAGCTAGAAGACACCTTGCCTTTACCTTCTGGTCCGCCTCTGAATCTTCAACTCCTTGACTGCTTAGTGATCCTGATGAAGGCACCTTTCCCTGGGGTCAGGTTGAGGGGCACCTTAGCCGTTTAGAGCCCTCATTGGAATATCAGTTTCCTCCTTTCACAGAAGTCCTGTTGGACTGACATAGGTGCTGATGCTGCTGTAGCAGATTTGTTAGCTTCGACAGCACTTTTGTCTGTGATGTTGCACTCTGCATTGGATATTCCAGAGCAGTAGTGCTAGAACAGGAGACCCAAGAGTAAAGAGCTTACCGGAATGCTGCAGTCAGGCAGGCAGGCTGGTTTGCAGTAGTTCTGTTGTTCATATAACTTAATCACTATGCGATTTTGGTCACTATTTAACCTCTCCCTGGTCTCTAGCTGCCAATTGAACAGACATGTAAACTAAATTTCGTCCTTAAGGAATTGTCTAGAATTAAAGAATTGTCTTCTCTTCAATATGGTACCATGGGCCACGTGGGACTGTTGAGCTCTTGAAATGTGACTAGTCTGAATTGAGATGTGCTGTGATATAAAACACACGTTGGATTTTGAACACTTCATAGGAAAAAAGAATGATTATATCTTAAGTTTTTTATATTGATTATAGGTTGAAATGATAATATTTTGGAAGTATTAGATTAAATATATGTTAGTCCACCAGTTTCTTTCCATGTTTGAAAATGTGGCTACTAGAAAATTTGAAGGTACATATGTGACTCACATTATATTTCTGTTGGAGAGCACTGGTCTGGAAGATCTGGCGGTCAGAGGTCTGGATGGTCTAATGCCACTAAATCACAAGACAGCTATTTAGTCCTTTTATTTGCTTTGATAAATAAAGTCCCTTTTCTATCAAAAGATAGAAAACAAATTCTATCAATTGCAAGTTTTAAATAAAACAAATTGTAGAGTAGTTGGTAAGTTGTACTTTAAATTAATTCTAGCAGATATCTTCAGTGTGGCAGCCACAGCTGAGCCTGCCCTGCTAGGGCGAACTGCTCAAGAGTTCATTTATCTGAGAGTTTTCATGATAGCTGTGCCTTTAAAATGTTAAACTTTTAATGTGAGAATTTCAGTTTATGGGATTGTGTTGAGAGTAGGCATCCTGTGTTCATAGAAATATGTGAATTTTTACTGTTGTTTGTGCCCAGAAGCAGCCTAAACTAGGTCATTAATTTTTCCCCATAGGAACAGTGTTAGAATTTGGACTCTGAATCAGATAAACCCTAAGTCTATTCAATAGTATGTCATGGGGCAGTGATACTGGTTCTAAGCAGCCGTAGGCATTTAAAGTAGCAAAATTTTTCTAAGCCCTAGAATGAAAATGTAAATGAATGAAATGGAAGAAACTGTACAATCTCCCCCCCCGCCCCGCTGTACGTGGGCCTCTCACTGTTGTGGCCTCTCCTGTTGCGGAGCACAGGCTCTGGACGTGCAGGCTCAGCGGCCATGGCTCACAGGCCCAGCCGCTCCGCGGCATGTGGGATCCTCCCTGACTGGGGCACGAACCCACGTCCCCTGCATCGGCAGGCGGACTCTCAACCACTGCACCACCAGGGAAGCCCTGTACCATCCATTTTTAAAATTTTATTTATTTATAATACATTTAATTAATTTATTTATTTTTGGCTGTGTTGGGTCTTCGTTGCTGTGCACGGGCTCTCTCTAGTTGCGGCGAGCGGGGCTACTCTTTGTTGTGGTGCGCGGGCTTCTCATTGCTTTAGCTTCTCTTTTTGGGAGCACGGGCTCTAGGCGCGTGGGCTTCAGTAGTTGTGGCTCACGGGCTCTACCAGGCAGGCTCAGTAGTTGTGGCGCACGGGTTTAGTTGCTCCGTGGCATGTGAGATCTTTCCAGATCAGGGCTCGAACCCGTGTCCCCTGCATTGGCAGACGAATTCTTAACCACTGCGCCACCAGGGAAGCCCTACCGTCCATTTTAATTGTTTCAGTGTAATTTAAGTAAGACATTACAAAAATAAAGCTCTAGTTGTTGATTTGATGCTCCCACTAATGTGCAGTCATTTATGTGTTGCCACCTGCAGGAAAGTAGATCTGGAAGAATATACTCCAGAGGTAAACAGTGTTCATTCATCTCCAGGATGGAATTAGGGAAGATTTCACTTTTTATATGTTTTAGCGTATTTGGATTTTTATTTTTTAAATAGCATCAGGAAAAGAACTCCAAAGAATTTTAAAAAGTGGATAGGTTAAGAACTGCCCTCACAGAAAAAAAGTATTAGATAATTTTTTTAAAAAATACATTTATTTATTTATTTTTGGCTGTGTTGAGGCTTTTCTTTGTTGTTGCGCGCGGGCTTTCTCTAGTTGCGGCAAGCAGGGGCTACTCTTTGTTGCGGTGCACGGGCTTCTCATTGCTGTGGCTTCTCTTGTTGGGAGCATGGGCTCTAGGTGTGCGGGCTCAGTAGTTGTGGCTCACGGGCTCTAGAGCACAGGCTCAGTAGTTGTGGCGCACGGGCTTAGTTGCTCCATGGCATGTGGGATCTTTCCGGACCAGGTCTCGAACCTGTGTCCCCTGCATTGGCAGGTGGATTCTTAACTACTGCACCACCAGGGAAGCCCAATTTGGTAATTTTTAAACCATGGGAATTTAGTTTATTTGAAGATGTTAAGGACATATACTGTCACTTAATGTGTCATTAAAATGATTTTTTAAAAAAATTTATTTATTTATTTATTTTTGGCTGTGTTGGGTCTTTGTTTCTGTGTGTGGGCTTTCTCTAGTTGCGGTGAGCGGGGGCCACTCTTCATCACGGTGCGCGGGCCTCTGACTGTCGCGGCCTCTCTTGTTGCAGAGCACAGGCTCCAGATGCGCAGGCTCAGTAGTTGTGGCTCACGGGCCTAGTTGCTCCGAGGCATGTGGGATCTTCCCAGACCAGGGCTCGAACCCGTGTCCCCTGCATTGGCAGGCAGATTCTCAACCACTGTGCCACCAGGGAAGCCCCTAAAATGATTTTTAAAGTAATATTTCACTTGTTCTGAGTGTTAATGTTATTTCTTTCTTAATCTTAAGTGCATATGGAAAGGTTATAAAGAACATATTCTAGAGTTGTATGGGCAGAAGTATGTTCACAAAGGCTTTAAAATGGGGCCATGGATATTAAATCCCTAATGTAGATTCAAGGAATGACTTTTAGACCCACTGTCATGAAGTATATATTTGTGTACTGCCCACATTTGAGTACTTATGTGCCAGGCCTTTTTCTAAAGTCTCTATTATTAAATATGCTGTCTTGCTTGATTGTTACAACAGCCCCGTGTGGTTAGTCTATTTTCAGCTTTTTATAGATGAGGATGGGCACAGAGGGGTCATCTTCCAGGGTCACGCAGTAAGTGGAGGAGCTGGGATTTGAACAGAGGCAGCCTGACTCCAAACCAAGCTGTGTTCCGTTACATGCTCCAGTGTACGCGTAGAAACACTGCTGTTTGCTGAACAGTGACTACCCTCAGATCATTCCTACCACCTCTTCAGAGTACCGAAGACATGGCTTCTTACCATCGCTTTAGTTTGGAGAGGTGCTGCAGTGAGGCGGTGTGTTGGCAGCAGGGAGATGGGAGGAGACAGGTGTAGGGCCACCATCCCTGGCAGGCCCTCGGGGAGGGGATGCCCAAGTCTCGCCACCCAAGCAGTTCACCTGTTTTTAATTCGTGCTCAGGTAATGGGTGGAATTAAATGTAGACATTTATTCCAGGTATCTGATATGAAGGGGACTTTGGCTTGTGGAGGAGACACATTTGTTGAGCACCTCTTGTTACGCTCATCCGTCCCGGTAGAAATGGGAGAGGAAAGCCGAAAAGGAACACCAGTGAAAATGAAAGATGCAAGTGCAAATCAGTTCTCTTTACAACAGATTGATTAAAAATTTTGAGATATCCGCTCTCTCTTCACAGACTTAAATTGTTAAAGTAAAAACAGTGAGAAAATGCGAATCCCAGTTCCACACTCCCTCAGTGTTCTCCTCAGAATATGCAGATGGTACTTGAATGTTGATGGAGCGCCTTTTCTCCCAGCTAAAGGCACTCTCAGTGAAGACACCATCAGAGTCTTTCTGCATCAGATTGCAGCCGCCATGCGGATCCTGCACACCAAGGGGATCATCCACAGGGATCTCAAGCCCCAGAACATCCTGCTGTCCTATGCCAATCGTAGGAAGTCCACTGTCAGTGGTATTCGCATCAAAATAGGTACCTGGCTATGTATTGTCTCATGCAAAGAACATTTTTGGGACTTGGTATTTTAGATAACTTTAGTTCAGCTTTGTTAGAATGATGGACTTTGTTGAGACACTTTTAAAATTTTTATTGAGTTCAGTGAGGTACATTTGGATATGGGAACCCTTTACATTATCGGCAGCAGGTGCTAGACGGGGCCAAAGACCCCGTGCTAGGAACTCTGAGTGTGACTCCCAGCAGGAAATCCTGCTTCTCCTTATCACAGGGAAGCTAATGTATCATGGTTGCTGGCAGCAAATTAATAACCCTGATTCTTTACAGCTTGTTGGATTTTAACGTAAGGGATCTGAGAGATCATTTAGTTCAGGCTTCTTACTTGGAAGTTTTTTAGCACTCCCAGGATTATTTGAAGCAGTTTATAATGCTAGATTTTTTTAAAAGTTTTTCTCTTCGTTGGTGGAAAAAGAATTATTGAGCAGTATTTTAAGAAATCTCTGATATTTTATGGGTTACATCTGGTATCTGGAGGAGGACAAAAACAGCTCCAGTTCTGTACCTGGTATTGATATTGGATGAGAGCTGTATTAATGAATCATGTATTATAATTAGCATTTTCTCTTGCGAAGTGTGGCACTTCCTTCTTGGTTACAAAACTGGCAGAGCAGTGACTTGTGTGGTTGGTGATGACTCTACTGTTTCTTAATGTGTCGAAAGTGAGGTAGCTCTGTTTTCTTTGGTGGACAGATGTATTCAGTAAGCTTTAATTTCTCACAGCTCTTTTGTACCCTCTTATATCTTTAAAGAATCATATGATCTGTGTTAACTGAGCAAAGGTATCATTTGATTTTCTCCTTTTTATTTTGTGAAATAGCGGATTTTGGTTTTGCTCGTTACCTACATAGTAACATGATGGCTGCAACGCTGTGTGGGTCTCCAATGTACATGGTGAGTGTTTGCATCCTTGTGTGTTTACAGCACAGCAGCATAAGCATTGGAATTTAAGTATAATGCTTGTTTCCAAGTAAGATGTGATTTTATATATAGTCTGAGTTTTTATTATATTACAAATGTTAATTCTATTACTGATAATGATATAATGCAGACGTCTTTTGCTTTAGTATAGCGGACTGTGGAAGTCTGTCATCTTTGCCCATTGGCATTTATTTTTTAACATGATTAGTTAGTTATTATGGTAGAAATCTCCTGTTAGATTAAATTGAAAACAAAAGTTGATGAAATGTGGTCATGCTATACATAATGTTTAATTATAGGAATACTTATAAAAAAGCTTTTTGGGCACGTACCTCTTCAGCTGTAGAGTGTAGTCATCTTCTGCATGTTGTCTCTTTAGACAGTATCCCTATATCGTAGAAGTGTTTTCCATCAGTGTCACACCTAACAACTGGAAAAAAATCTTAGTTTTCCTCTTTATCCTCTCCTGTGGTTACGGTCAGGTCTAATAGGGTGAAGCTGTGAAACTTCTGAACTAATGTGAGGTGTTAAGCCTGGATATACCTTAATTCTGGAACTTCAGTATCCTGTGAAGTAAATAAATGTACCTATTTCAGTTTTAATTTAAAATGGTTTTATGTTCAATTAGGGTTTCTTCTAATGTAAAACCACTTTGAGCTAAGGGAACTAGTAATCAAAGTACAAAAAAGTTTTTGTATTAGACTTACTTTTTCTTGATCATAATCTTACTGCTTATAAAGTAAATGTTATAATTTAATATAATTAAATACTATTTTGCACTTCTTGAGTGTGAAAGTAGTTCAGCCTTGAACTAATAACCTTGAGGATAGACAGAGTGCTTGGGCTGATTATTAAAGGGAGGTGGCTCAATAAGAAATTTATTAAGGACAGTAAGTAAAAATGTTATGCCTGAAAAATAAAATTTCACTATCTTCTAATTAAGTGTATTTGACATTCCTATTTAATGCTGTGCTTGCCTTGATTGATGGTATTTTTAAAAAGCAACATCTAATGAGAGGGTGGGAAAATAGCTGTGACAAAGCAGCAGAGAAAAAAAAAATTTATTTTTTTTGCTGCTCTGAGCAACATGTGAGATCTTAGTTCCCCAACCAGGGATCGAACTCACGCCCCCTGCATTGGAAGTGCGGCGTGTTAACCACTGGACTGCCAGGGAAGTCCCAAGATAGTTTTCATTATTGTATTTTGCATAACAGATTTTCCATCATTTTAAAAGTTTTCAGATGACGGGAATAATATAGCAAACACTTGTGTACCTACCATCCGTATTTAACAAAGTTAACATTTTGTCATGTTTGCCTTGATCTTTTTTTTTAGAAACAAATAAAGTATTTCAGAAACAGTTCATGTGCCCTCCGTAGCCCTCCTTTTTCCATTTCCCACTCTCCTACTCTCCTACCCCAGAAGTAACCTCTATCCTGTAATTGGGGTATATTTTTCTTTATTATTATTTAAATACTCTTTCTGTAGTTTATGTGTCCATAATATTATATAGAAATGTTTGTTTCTGCAACTTTTCATGCGCCGTTGTTTCTGAGATTTACCAGTAAGCCTCAATGTAAGAATGTGGTTCTATATTCGTTGCAGTATCATTTGATTAGGGCAATATCTCAGTGTGTTGTTTTTATTTTTGTAGTTTTGTTAGGAGTGTGACCTTTTCCAGCTAATTAATCCATACATATTAATTATGTAAATGACCTAATGCATGTCTCTTGAATTGTTTTATCCCCAGGCTCCTGAGGTTATTATGTCTCAACATTATGATGCCAAGGCCGACCTGTGGAGCATAGGGACAGTGATATATCAGTGCCTTGTTGGAAAACCACCTTTTCAGGTACCTTGACTTTTTTTGGACGTGCTCAGTTTGGGGATCTTCTCATTTTGCAGTTGCCTTCGGCTTATAAGATGGGGAATACAGTTGACCCTTGAACGATGTAGGGGTTAGGGGTGCTGACCCCTTGCAGTGGAAAATGTGCTGTAACTTTACAGTCGGCCCCTTTTACTTGCCGTTCTGCATCTGTGGGTTCAACCAACTGCAGATTGTGTCGTACTGTAGTATGTATCAAAAAAAGGTTCCTGCACAGTTCAAACCCATGGTGTTCAAGGGTCACCTGTACTTTGAAAGCAGTGTTTCTGGTTCCTCTGTGACTTATTTTGATTTTGTTAACAGGCACAACTGCTGTAGTGAGCCAGAACATCTTTCGCTTTTTCCTTTTTTATCTGCCTTCCCTAGTAGTTGGACTGGGCCAGGGGCCGGTTAGGTTCTCCAGGTTCATAAAAGCTGGTGCAGCTTAGCGTAACAACCTGGTGGGAAATAGGTGTGAACAGTGATGTCAGCGCTTCCTGCTTAGCCTTGTTTTGGGGTCCTGGAATCCACGTGAGGGCTAGGGCAGGTCTGGGAAGATCACTGGAAACTGTCCCCAGCTCTCTATTCCTGTCACTGCTGGGTGAGAGGTAATTATTTAGGCTTTATGGAAGTTACTTTGAGTAGGTCTTCCTCTCCCTTAACATCCTGTCAAAAAGAGGCCTCCTAGGATATAATCACAATGATTCCTCTTGAGTTCATACTGCCCAGTTACAAAGAGGAGCTTTGAATCTGAAAACTGGAACAGAGTGAAATTATTTGCCCAACATGGTTTTTAAAAGTCGGTGACACAGCCAGGTTGAACACTTAATTTCCCAACCTAGTTTGGGTGTAGAGACAGCTTCACTAATTCAGCAGCACTTATTATGAGGGTGCTGCTTGTTACTATGGCAGAAGAGTAGCAGTCATCTGAGTTCTCTTCCTTGAATCCCTCGAAGGTAAAATACACCCTGACCTTACACAGTAAAAATACACCTGTTGGGTAGGCCATGTAACCTCCAGAGTAGTGATTTTCAGGCCTCTCTGAGAATCTGACCTCAGAAAAGGTACATTATTATGCCCATATGTGCAGAATTCACGTACAATTTCAGAAGTTTTTTAAGTTCCTGGTGCCCGTCTATGGCTCCTTCAGCATTCCATGGCTTTCAAGTTCAGAGTCTCTGTTCTATAGCAGAATGTGAGCTTTGATCATATGATTTGGAATTTTTGCCCTTAGTTGTTTAGGAAATTAAACCTTTTTCTTCCCTTTTTTTTTTTTTTTTTTTTTTTTTTTTTAAAAAAAGGCTAATAGTCCTCAAGACCTAAGGATGCTTTATGAGAAAAACAGAAACTTAACGCCTAGGTATGTGTTTTGATTACGCTGGGTTTTACCATTTGTCAGTGCAGTGTTATCTATTTGAATTCTATGTGTTTTATGTTTTTCCGTTATTGAATCTTTTTTCAATTAACAGTAAGGAGACCTTTCATTTTAACAGGAAATTAGAAAATTACTAGTGTATCGTAGGTTCCTGTGTGCTGTATCATTTTCTTTCTTTTTAAAAATGTTAAGTTTATTTAAAAGAAAAACCTACGGAAGTTATATGTGTTCTTTGAGAGGAGGGAGATGCAAACAGAATAGATGTGCATAAAGTAGAAAATAGCTAGGCTTTCCCCTAGAAAATAGCTAGCTCTAAAATAGCTAGAGAGTCCCCTAGTTAAATGTAATGTATTTTGTTTAATCAGATCCCTGTTTTCATTTTTTTGGTTACTACAAACAGGCTTTACTGAGGAGAGATTGTGTATGTGTGTGCGTGCGTGCATGTATACACACATTTGTGCATTCCTTTAAGATGGACTCCTAGAAGTGGAATTGTTGGGCTTAGAGACACACTCTCCAGCTCGGCTGGCCCTGTTTGCACTGCTGAACAAGCAGTGCGCTCCTTTTCTGCGTTCTACCAGCAGGGGTTGTTACCAGTCTCCATGCCTCCCAGGCAGGGCCAATTAGCTCTTCATTTAACTTGCATTTTTCTCTTTACTAGTGAGGTTGGCTCGCTCTTTGTTTAACATCCTTTTATAGTTTTTATTCTGTGAATTACATATTCCTATTACTCATTTTTTTTTATTGCCTTGTCCTTTTTTATTGGATTTCAGGAAACTGTGTTATTTCTCACTTGTATTTATTTAAGCTCTGCCCTTTTGCAGACAGAATTGGAGGTGGCTGTTTGTCTAACAGAGAACTCTGTAGCAACTGTTAGTGCTAGGTCGACATTGTGTTAAAACTCAAGGTGGTCTGTGCTTGTGAAGTGCTTTGTTCTCGCAGATATTCCAAAAACAGCAATAAGAAGCACGATGCAAGAATCTTCCCAAATTGATGCTGTTTTTCAAAGGCAGTTGCTTAGTGTTTGTTTGTTTGTTTTTTCCTTTAAGGAGTGAGGGTCTACCATGGTCCTCTTGGTATAAAATGTAGTATTTGTGAAACTGCATATACTTTTTCATTTACCGTAATGAAGGGGAAAGTCGTGTAGTTAATATATAAACTCACCACTTAGGTGGTTTTTTTTTCCTTTCCCCCCAGCATTCCCAGAGAAACATCACCTTATTTGGCTAATCTCCTTTTGGGTTTGCTTCAGAGAAACCAAAAAGATAGAATGGACTTTGGTAAGTAATATTTTTCAAATTTTGTATGTATGCTATTTTCTAATTTTATTTTTGTGTATTCAAAAAAGTTTTTTTAAATTTATTTTTTATTGAAGTCTAGTTGATTTACAATGTTGTGTTAGTTTCTGCTGTACAGCAAAGTGATTCAGTTACACATATGTATACATTCTTTTCATATTCTTTTCCATTATGGTTTATCACAGGATGTTGAATATAGTTCCCTGTGCTATACAGTAGGACCTTGTTGTTCATCCATCTTATATATACTAGCTTGCATCTGCTAATCCCAAACTCCCACTCCATCCCTACGCCCCTACCCCACTTGGCAACCACATGAAAAGGTTTTTTTAAAAGATACTATAGATGTTTCAGAAGAGAATGAAAATCAGTTTTACTTTTCTTTCTATCTCTTTGTCTTTTTTCTTTCACGTATTTTGTAAACGTATGGAAGGTATATAAATAGTTAATATAATCAATAATTTAGAAGCTATTATCCTATTTGTCGTTTCACTATTGGCCGATATTTCTCATGGTCACAGAGCAATCTCAGTTTAATTTCTCCCTCGGAAAGATAAAAATATTTACCAAACTACATGACTAAAGTTTAATTCCAATTTTTACCACACTTTAGGAAAAGATATGTTTAGCCTATTTCATCTTTCCGCCATACAGAAACTATTAGAGCTACTGTCTACTGAGAACATTTACTGGGACAGTGAACCGAGTGCTTCCGAGTGGGAGGTAGTTTAGACTAAACCTGACTTCAGCTCATTCCTGATTGTGTATTACCTGGAGAACCTCCGTGCTGGGCTGTGCCATTCTCCTTGTCTGCTCTGTGCTATTTAGTAACATACAGTTTGGAGACTTAATGAAAAATGAGATGGTCTTCGTGAGATTTTAAAGAAACAATGAAATTATACATACAGGAAAAGAGTAAATTAATGAACTGCCATGCACTCACCTACTCATTTATATTTATGTAATTAGCAGGCTTACTGTGTAGGTTTTATCCTTGGTGAATAGCTGAAGAAACTAAAAATCAAATTAATAGCTTTTTTAAAAATGTGAAACCAGCTGTAGGAATATTTCTTCTGGGACAGGAGAGTAGAGTCTATTATACAAATCAGCTAAGATTTCCCGTTAGGACAGTTAAGAGCCATAGTTCACAGAGAGATTAGCGAAGGCCTGGTCACAGTTCTCTGTGCCCTTGTCTGTTTGAGGACAGCACACACTAGAGGACGCATCTGCTTTAGTCGCCTCAGGGGTGCTGTGCTGGTAATGGACACTCTGAGAATTCACACCATTATTTTAAATTTTTCATTCATTAAGAATTACTTATAATTTGATGGGTTTTATGGATGATTTATAAAATAACGTGCTTTTACATTTAAAGGAAATGGAGCCTATGTAAAGAAGTTAATAATAATTATGTATGATCTCAAGGATATTATGTTGACTACATTGACAAGGTTAACCTATCTGCAAAATCAACATCAGTTTAATGATTGCATTCTCATTTTCATTATAGAAGCATTTTTTAGCCATCCTTTCCTTGAGCAAGTTCCAGTAAAAAAATGTGAGTACCCACTTTTTACATTTCTACTTAAAGAGTGAATGCAAGCTTAAGGAAAAATTAGTATTTGGTATTACAAAATTAATTTTTTATGTGCTTCTCAAGATTTCATTGAGCTTTTCTTAAACATTTGTAGTTGTGTTTATTTAATTACAATTCTGTTTTTCCTTCCAAGTCCAAATTGAAAGAGTTTAGTAATTACTGCATTTTTGGTTTCACCCATGGGAGCTGTAATAAGTAGGTGAATGTAAATTTTTGGCCAACACAAAGCTGTAGTAGTTGTGACAGGTTTGCTAGTGGACAGCTCGTGTAATCGCACTCCATTCGTCGGTGTTTCTCCCCCAGCCTGTCCGGTCCCGGTGCCCGTGTACGCCGGCTCCGCCTCTGAAGTTCCCTGTAGCAGCTCTCCATCCTGTCGCTTCGCCTCTCCACCTGTAAGTCCTGGTTGTATTAAAGGTACCGTTAGAGCCTGTGTTATTGCATCTGCTCACAGAGCCTGCAGATACGTCGTGGGTATTCTCTTTATGTCTGGAGTTTCCTAGCGCAGCTGAGGCCTGGGCAAAGAGTGCTGTTGTTGAGGCCCTCGGTCTGGACTCTGCCTTCTCTGGCTGTGCACACTTCAGCAAGACGTGTCCCCTCTGACTGGTGGACACAGTACTCTCACCCTTTCTCACCCTTTCGTGACCAGTGAGGTGGGGAAAGATGTCACTGTGACACGTAGATAGGTAATTCGCATTTGTTTCATGAATGTCATAAACATCGGTCTGGACAGTTATCGTACATAGAACTTGCAGTGGTGGACGAGTGCCCTCTGAGCGGACTTCACTGCCTTAGGCCCCGTAGTCATGGTGACTGGCCCTGTGAGCCGGCTCCACTGCAGCCTCTTCCCTCCCCAGGGCTGCCCGAGCCGCGCACCCCATGGCCACCTTCCCTGCCATCTCAGAGCTTCTTCCTGATCCTGAGAACTTACGGCCACTTCTGGTCATTCATTCCTTCTGCTCTGCTCTCCCAGGTCTTGCCTTTCCGACTTCTGTGCTTTTCTGGACTTTCCCCCACGTCTCTCTTGCTGCCTGAGAGGGCTGTGACCTTGAGACTTTTCACAAGCCAAGGTCCAGGGGCCGTTGTGTCAGCCACTGCAGGTATTTTCCAGACTGGCCTGGCAGACGTGCATTTCTTGAATTCTGTGGGCAGAAGGGTCGGGGAATCGCAGAGGGAGCTGGTTGGGTGATTAGCAGCTTGAGGCTTAAGAGTCTGGGGCTTGGGAGCTTCCACATCCCTGACTTGCCATATTACCTAGGACAGGTGACTCGGTGTCTCTGAGCCTGTTTCTCATAAGTAAAGTGAGTATAATTTACCCACTTCATAGAGTTTTTTAAGGATAAATGAGCAAAAGCACCTGCTCCAGTGCCTGGCACACAGTAATACTCAGGAAGTGGCAAGTGCAGTTATTCTTATTTTCCAGGGAAACCCAGTGCCTCACAGTGAGAGCAGATGCTGCAGCAGCCTGTTGCAGACGGATGAGTCCTAAAGCTGGCAAAACTTTCTGCACAGCCCTGCAGACTCAAACCAAATAGAAAAAGCAGATGGACTAATAAGACTTACATTACATTCCCATGAATTTAAAAAAACTAAGAGGGGAAAAAAGTGTTGTATATTTCCAGTTTCAGTCTGGAATATAGGAAAACACTGGATTTGGAGTGACTGGGGAGAAATGCAGAGGAACTGCAGGGAAAGACTGAAGGCTCTGTTTGGAGCCGGGCAGGACCAGCCTCAGCGCTGGCCCTGCTGCTTGCTCACTATATCCTACCGGGCAGGTCAGTTTCCAGGCTGAGCTGAGCTTCCTTGTCTGTAACGTAGGTTACAGAGGCCTGGTTAACCTCTGGTTGAAGGGGAGTGGGTGGTAGTACGTAGCGAGTACTTGATAACTGTAGCCACCGTGATGGAGCACGTATGTGATCCCAGGTGACACGCGGTGTGAAAAGCAGAGATGGTGCTGGAGAGGAACAGCAGGGGAGGAGCTGAGCGTGGGGAGCCTGGGGGACGGTAGGGCCCCAAGGGAGGAGAGGGGGGCCTCCAGGAGGGACGCAGCGGGGAAGTGCTTCGACTGGACGGAGTGTGCTGGGCTTTTGTTGGATGGGGATGCTTTGAAAGGGAGCACAAGACAGCAGCGTGTCTTGGGCCGCTGGGAAGAGTGGAACAGGTGCTCGCAGGAGGAGGGGCGAGGGGCGGGGGAGGGGAGACCTACTTAGATGCTCAGAGCTTTGGTGGAAAAACCGTTTTTAGAAGGCCTTTATGAGAAGCCAATGCTTGAAGTGAAAATAACAAGGAAATCTGGAAATAAGAGGAGAGCAGGAATAATATAATATAATGTAGTGTAATGTAGTGCCGTTTCCAGTTAGTGAGATCAGGAAATGGGATGGTTTGTTAGGCCTTGCTTTCAACATCGTCTGCAAAAGTGAGAGGACTTCCTATAGGCACTGCCTTCCTTCCTAGGGCTGCAGCAGACTCTTGTACTGAGGGTGAAGGCATGCAGGCATGCCCACGTGACATTCTCTTTTTTACATCTCACACAAACACCCAGCGGCTGCTTCATTCCAGAGAGATCTTTGGAAGGTGAAAAACAAAAACTCTGTAACAAAAAGCGCAAATCACTCTTTTAGTTATGATACTGGCTGTAGGCTAAATGCTATTTAGATAACATCTCTTGAATATCTATTGCTTTAATCACATTTATTAAATGCCTGCTTTATGTGAAGTTTTGGTTGATACCAGTGGAAGATATGACCAGGTCCCTTCATTGAGGAGCTTTTAAGTTTAATTGTGTGGAGAAGAGGCAGGTAAAGCATCGCTATAGAAGCGTATGTATACACGCCTTTACTGCCTGTGGGAGTGTGGATGAGGGGCATGAAATCAGACTAAGAAGCCAGCAAAGATGCTCAGGAGAGGCACTGAGCTGAGTTTTTGTTCTTGTTTTTATTTATTTATTTATTTATTTTCGGCTGCATTGGGTCTTTGTTGCTGCACGCAGGCTTTCTCTAGTTGCGGCGAGCAGGGGCTACTCTTCGTTGTGGTGCGCGGGCTTCTCATTGCGGTGGCTTCTCTTGTTGTGGAGCACGGGCTCTAGGTGGGCGGGCTTCAGTAGTTGTGGCACACGGGCTCAGTAGTTGTGGCTCGTGGGCTCTAGAGCACAGGCTCAGTAGTTGTGGTGCACGGGCTTAGTTGCTTCGTGGCATGTGGGATCTTCCCGGACCAGGGCTTGAACCCGTGTCGCCTGCACTGGCAGGCGGATTCTCAACCACTGCGCCACCAGGGAAGCCCTTGAGCTGAGTTTGGAAGGAAGAGTAAGCACGGTGAATTTGTACAAGAGTGGTGTTGTGAGCAGAGGAATCCCTGTGGAATGGTGACCCGCTGAAGGAATCTGTAGCCGTCCTTGGCCATAGTGTTTATTAGAATTAAGTGAAATGTAAGTTCAGCTCGTTGGTCTCCCACGCCACATTTCAAGTGCTCATAGCCACATGTAGCTGGTGGCCACCATGCTGGATAGAACAGAGCTCTCCCATCGTTGCAGGAAGCTCTGGTTGGACAGGCTTCTCTGACGATTCAGTCTGTAGGGTGCAGAGAGCATTGGTGATGTGCTGAGGGGAAAGCAGAGCCAGAAGGGTAGGGAGAGGCTGTGTCTTGGCAGAATTTGGGCACCGAGCAGAGGAGGCCAGACTCTGTGGTGAGCCGTTTGAGAGATCTTAAGCGGAGGCGTCATCTGATCCACTGTGTTTTAACAAATAAATTCCTCTGAAAGCAGGTGGAGGATTGGATTGGAGACACGGAGAGAAGCCTCTCTACTAGATCAAAGAGAACAGCCTGTGACCATTGCAGATTTTTTGGTTTGGTTTTGGTCTTGCTTTGTTTTTATTGAGAATGAGGGCCTGAAGTAAGTCAGCAGTAGGAAAGGGGAAGACGAGGGCCCGGGAAGCGCAAGGTGAGGAGTTCGTGGCGCTTGGAGATTGCTTGAACTTGGGACCTAAGGAAGAGGATGGTCTTGATGGGACCCAAGTGGGTGGACTTTGATGGAGCCACTCAGCGAGGGAGCACAGAGGCGATGCGCTGGTGGTGTGCAGACACGGGGGCAGCCTGGGAGAGGCAGGGCTGCAGTCATCACTCTGGCAGTGGTAGCTGAGGCAGGAAGGTGAGAGTGACCCCAGGTGAGGCTACGAAGTGTGCCGAGTGGAGGCCCAGGGTGGCCCTGGGGAATCCCGCAAGCCACTCCTCTCCGTGAAGGGGCAAAGGAGACTAAGAAGCAGTGGGGAAAGCAAGAGAGTAGGGTCACTGAATGGAGGCGGTGGGTCAAGAGAAGAGCGGCTCACAGTGTCAGAGTCGCAGAGTCAGGTCACTTAAGGCATAGAGGAGCCTCCGGAGAATGCGGCCACAGGGGTCCCGGGTAGGCTTAATAAAGGCGGTTTTGGTGGAGGGTTGAAAGCAGGAAGTGGATTATGGTGGGTTAGGCGACACACAGGGGGTGAGGAATTGGGGTCAGTGAAGACTGAAGTTTCAAGAAACATTGTTACGTGAAGAAGGGAGAGAAGATGGTAATTGAGAGGGCTGCATTGATTTGAGATGTAGAAAAATTCAATATGTTTGTGTGCGGAGGGGAAAAAGGCCAGAATAAAGGGAGAGGGTGAAAGTGTCAGGAGCAGAGGGGAGTGATCTGGGTCCTTGAGGAGGTGGAGAGAATTAGTGGAGAGATTAGCTCTGAATGCAAGAAGCATCTCTTCCACCCAAGTGGTTGTGGATGAAGGTGATTTTATAAATAGCAAAGGAAGAAATTGAGAAGAGTTCCTGCCTGGAAAGAAATGGCACTGGAAAGAAATCATGGAGTTAGATACTTGGAATCCAGCCCAGCTCAACTGCTCTTCAGTTGGCAGATATCCTAATCTTCTGAGTTTTGTTTATTTATGTATGAAATGGATTTCAGAACAGGGCTGAAGTTAGATAATACACGGAAAGCTCTTAACAGTGCCTATAGCCCATGGTAGGTGCTCTGTAATGTTAGTCCTCGATCTTCCTCTCTTTATAACCTTGAAGCGTAAGTGCTCTTCAGAAAGTGGTAAGGAGAATTTATATCATGTGTGTGTCACACACACACACACACAAAGAAGTGATAAGGAGATCTGAGACTGATTTCATTGCTCAGTGACATTCACAGGTGCAGTAGCAGTCTGACCCTGGGGTTGAAAGAGCATATTATGTAGTATTTTCCTTTTTCTTAAATAGAAACAGAGGTTAAGCATGGTAATGGGGACCTAACACAACAAATTACGAAGTTCATTGTTTTAGGAAACTGTTGTATGATGAAGACATTCAGTTAGAGTTGTCACTAGTGTCCTTGAAGTGGGCAAGTGTCAAGAGGTCTGTAGCTACTTACGCCCACGTATCTTTAAATATCTTTATATGCTTTTCTTCCTGTCCTGGCTCCCACAAATCAACTCCTTCCCCTGACAAAAAAGAACACAAAAGGAACACACCCACCCCTGTAAGGTTTTCTAAATCTCTCCTGGAAGTGTAAATAATCTCTGTGCTTACATGCCCTTATCCTTACTGTGAACATGGGTCTCTTGCTTTCCCTCTTATAATGTTTTCTTCATTGGAGATTTAAAACTTTGTGTGTGCAGGATGTCATTAATTTAAAGTCCCTGGACGTTTTGTTTTAGTCATTAACTAAACAGGTATTGAGTATCTGCTTGGCTAGGCCATGCACTGAAATGGGGATGTGGAGATGATAAAAACTCACCTCAACCATTTCAGGAGAGGCAGCTTGTACATGTGATAACTGGTATGATGGGGGTTTTTGTTGTTGTTGTTGTTTTGGTATGATGTATTTTTAAGTATCATTTTTGGAAAACATTTTAGAAGTCATTATGGAAAGACACTTTAAACTGTGCTTTTCTAAGGGAAAGATTTTCCAAAGAGATTTTTTTAATCTTAAATGGAATTGAACTCTATGCCACTTTCATGAAAAAAATATTTCTTAGTCTGATGGCTATTCTGACTTGCATTTTATTATGAGGCCACTTTTAATTTTATGTTGTTAATTTTAGTCCCTTCCAGATGTGCAGCATATTCAGGAAGAAAGCTTACCCTCCCCACCGTTGGGTCCTCCCAGCTCCCTCCAGGTGTCCAAAGATTCCGCCAGTACTAGTAGCAAGAACTCTTCTTGTGACACGGATGACTTTGTTTTGGTTCCACACAACACCTCGTCAGACCACTCATGTGAGAATCTTTTCTGCTTGTACACATTATATTTCTGAATTTACTAGACTAGCATTTTTTAACCTTTATATCACGCTGTCTTGTGTAGGACACCTTTTCAAATGGACATTTTATTTAGTTGATGGAATTCCCAGAACTATCTACCTACCTTCCTGTAATCTGCTCAGTCATCTTCTATAAGACAGTAACCTTGGATTCTGAAGGTAGATGAAAACTTTGTAGGAGATGATCTCAAATTCTGTTTGTATCCAAACAGAAAGGAATAGAGAAGCCAACATAATGAGAGAAATTAAATTTAAGGAAAGGAATTAAAGGAAGACCTCTTTTGGAAAAAGCCTGAGAGTCAAAGGGTCTTAAAAACAGTCTGGATGGTGCTTCAGGAGCTACTAGCCTGAGTTCAGGAATGAGCCTCATAAATTTACAGGAAGAATTTTTATAAAGGAAGCAGAATCCAAGCTGACTAAATACAGTCAGGGTTCTGTGGAACAGTGAAGGGCACCAGAAAACCTACAAAAAGAGAAGTTAGACAAAACCCTGAAAAAAGAGGGAAACATGGTTTGGAAATTTGATTACTGTCAACAAGTGAATAGTACCCAGTTGACTGTGTGCAGATGTAGAAAGTTGGAGACGTTTGTATCAAGAGGTCTCTAGTTGTTTGTCAAATACGTATTTAGTAGCTGCTTACATTCACCCCTGCACTGGCTGTTGTGAAGGCTGTGGCCCTAGACCAAACGTGCTTCGGGGCTGATTGGCTGGGGCAGGGGAAACACGCACGGCACATAAGGCAAGCGGCGGGCCCTGATCCGTGTGCTGAGAGCTGACAGCTGCCTTTAGAAATCATCCTGTGTGGTGGTTTTATTTCACTAAAAAGGTAATTTAAACTTTTTAAATTGTGAAATATTTCAAACAGAATAACGCGGCAGATACTCAAATCATCCACCGTGCTAATTTTATTAATGTTAGCATTTTTGACATACATTTTTTAGATGTCTTTTTAAAGGTATAAAATGCTGTAGGTACAGCCAGAGTACTTGCATCATTCTTCTCTTGCCAGAGATATATTCTTCCTCTTGATTTGTAATTCTAATATGCCCCTGTATCCATAAAGAACATATAGTATTTTTATGATTTTAGTTTCAAGTAAATGTTGTATAGAATATTGTTTTCTGTAGTTTGCTTTTTCATATTTTTGCTGTGTATCTAGATCTGTATCTAGGTGTGTATCTAGTTCATTTTAATATATGATATTTATAGTACAACTAAACCATAGTTTATCCATTTCCTTACTGATTGTGACTTGGAACATTTCTATCTTTTTACTGTTCAAAATGTGTTATAACAGGTGTCCTTGTGCCAGAATTTCTTCCAGGTGGGTGCTCTAGATATGTACAACTTCAACTCTATAAAATATTGGTATAAGCAAGTTGTAGCCACTAACACCTCTGCCATGCTGCCCCAACGTTATCATGGTGCCTTCTAAAGATTTTCATGGTTTTTTTTCATATTTAACTTTACCTGGAATTAATTTGTGTAGATGGAATAAGGGCTCTATCAGTTACCCTAGCATTAGTTATTGAATATTCTGTCCTTTCTACACTGATATGCAGTTCCAGACTTGTCATATCAGGCGTATATAAAGGATTTGTTTCAGTGTGTGTGCGTAGATGGGGTGGAAGGTGACGGTGGGGAGCCTCCTGGAATTCTGTGGAGTCACCGAGCTATTCTTGGCCCCCTTTCCTCCCCTATATAGTTTAATTTCAACTTGAAAATCCTACAAAAAACCATCTGGGGATTTTGATCAGCATTGTATTGATTCTCTAAGACCTATTCAGGGACCTAGAGAATTGTCTACTCAAGAATGTTTGTGTGTTTGTTCCTCCACTTACTTAGATTTCTTTAGTGTGTTTTCATGCATGTTTATACTTTTCTACGTAAAGGACATTCACACCTTTTGTTTTATTCAAGTTACCTTTGGTTTTTTTTGTAGTTGTATAAATGTTGTCTTAAAAACATTTCTTTTTTTCCAAAACTGCTCCTGTCGAGGTCTTTTTATGCTGCCAAATCCCAGGGGTCATTTCTCAGTCCTCATCTTTTTGATGTGTCCACAGCATTTGTTATGGTTGACCACACCCTGCCATGTAATTAGTAAAAATTTGTTATTGTGAAGTATATCATATGTATAAGATAGTTTTTGTTTGTTTGTTTGTTTGTTTTGCAGTACGTGGGCCTCTCACTGCTGTAGCCTCTCCCACCGCGGAGCACAGGCTCCAGAAGCACAGGCTCAGCGAACATGGCTCACGGGCTCAGCCGCTCCGCGGCATGTGGGATCCTCCCGGACCAGGGCACGAACCCGTGTCCCCTGCATCGGCAGGTGGACTCCCAACCACTGCGCCACCAGGGAAGCCCAAGATAATTTTTTAAAAGATTTAATATTTCATTTTTGGTCACGGCACGCAGCTTGCGGGATCTCGTTTCCCCAACCAGGGACTGAACCTGGGCTACGGTAGTGAAGGCTTGGAATCCGAAGCACTAGTCCATCAGGGAGCTCGCTAAGATTTAATTCTTTAGGGCAGTTTTAGGTTATACAACAAAATTGAGAGAAAGGTACAGAGATTTCCCATATACCCTTATGTACCCCTTATTGCATAGCTTCCCGCATTGTCATCATCAGTCACCAGAGTGGTACATTTGTCACCAACGATGAACCGACATTGACACATCATAATCACCTAACGTCCACAGTTTACTTTAGAGTTCACTCTTGGTGGTGTACATTCTGTGGTTTGGACAAATGTATAATGACTTGTTTCCACCATTGTTATTATGCAGAGCATTTTCACTGCCTTAAAAATCCTCTGTGGTCTACCTACTTATTTCTCCCCACCTAACCCCTGGAAGCCACTGATTTTTTTTTTTTTTTTTTTTTTTTGAAGGGGACTGCGGCTCCTGCATTGTGGGTGGGAATCGTGGCTCGTCTGTACAGCTCCCCCTCCCCCTTTCCTACTTTTTAAAAAATTGACGTATAGTTAATTTACAATGTTGTGTTATTTTCAAGTGTGCAGCAAAGTGATTCCGTTATACACATATGTATATATGTATTCTCTTTCAGATTATTTTCCATTATAAGTTATTACAAGATATTGAATATAGTGCTCTGTGCTATACAGTATAGGTTCTTGTTGGTTATCTGTTTTATATACAGCAGTGTGTATATGTTAATCCCAAACTCCTAATTTGTCCGTCCTTATCCCCTTTGCTAACCATAAGTTTGTTTTCTATGTCTGTGAGTCTATTTCTGTTTTGTACATAAGTTCATTTGTATCATTTTTTTAGATTCCACATATAAGTGATATATGGTATTTGTCTTTCTCTGACTTACTTCACTTAGTATGATAATCTGTAGATCCAGCCATGAAGCTGTAAATGTCATTTTTCATTCTTTTTTATGAGTAATTTCCATTGTGTATATGTACGACATCTTCTTTATCCATTCATCTGTCGATGGACCTTTAGGTTGTTTCCATGTCTTGGCCATTGTGAATAGTGCTGCTATGAACATACAGGTGCATGTTATCTTTTTGAATTAGAGTTTTCTCCAGATATATCCCCAGGAGTAGGATTGCTGGATCATATGGCATCTCTATTTTTAGTTTTTTGAGGAACCTCCATACTGTTCTCCATAGTGGCTGCACCAATTTACATTCCCACCAAGAGTGTAGGAGGGTTCCCTTTTCTCCACACCCTCTCCAGCATTTATTATTTGTAGACTTTTTTGATGGTAGCCATTCAGACTGGTGTGAGGTGGTGTACCTCATTGCGGTTTTGATTTGCGTTTCTTTAATAATAAGCGATGTTGAGCATCTTTTCATGTGCCTGTTGGCCATCTGTGTATCTTCTTTGAAATTTCTGTCTTTTAATTGTGCATTTAGACCACTGATGTTAAAAGTGATTATTGCTGTACCTGGATTAGTATCTACCATATTCATTACTGTTTTCTGTTGTTGTCCTTGATCTTTGTTCTTGTATTTGTCTCCCACTCTTTTTCTACCTTTTGTGGTTTTAATTGAGCATTTATTATGGTTCTATTTTCTTTCCTTTCTTAGCATATCAATTATACCTCTTGTTAATTTTTTTTAGTGGTTGCTCTAGATTTGCAATATACATGTGTAACTAACCTGAGTCCCCTTTCAAATATGCTATACCATTCATAAATAGTGTGGGTATCTTATAATATCAATAACAAAATAATCCTAATTCCTTCCTCCCATCCCTTGTATCACTGCTGTCATTAATTTCACTTATATATAAGCTACATAAGTATGTTTGTATATGTACACATAAGATATATAGGGAAGCATACATAACTGAGTACATTGTTGCTGTTGTTATTTTGAACAGATTGTTACCTGTAAACAGCTCATGGAGCTCAATATCAAAAAAACAAGCAACCCAATTAAAATACGGGCAGAAGACCTAAACAGACATTTCACCAAAGAAGACATACAGGGGGCCAAGAGGCACATGAAAAGATGCTCAACATCACTAATTATTAGAGAAACGCAAATCAAAACTACAATGAGGTATATCACCTCACACCAGTCAGAATCGCCATCATCAAAAAATCTATAAACAATAAATGCTGGAGAGGGTGTGGAGAAAAGGGAACCCTTTTGCACTGCTGGTGGGAATGTAAATTGATACAGCCACTATGGAGAACAGTATGGAGGTTCCTTAAAAAACTAAAAATAGAACTACCATATGACCCAGCAACCCCACTACTGGGCATGTACCCTGAGAAAACCATAATTCAAAAGGACACATGTACCCCAGTGTTCATTGTAGCACTATTTACAATAGCCAGGACATGGAAACAACCTAAATGTCCAATGATAGGTGAGTGGATAAGGAAGATGTGGTACGTATATACAGTGCAATATTACTCAGCCATAAAAAGGAATGAAATTGGGTCATTTGTAGAGATGTGGATGGACCTAGAGTCTGTCATACAGAGTGAACTAAGCCAGAAAGAGAAAAACAAATATCGTCTATTAACGCATATATGTGGAATCTAGAAAAATGGTACATATGAACCTAGTTCCAGGGCAGGAATAGAGACGTAGACATAGAGGATGGACATGTGGACACAGTGGGGAAGGGGAAGCTAGGACGAATTGGGAGCTTAGGTTTGACATAAATACACTGTCGTATAAAATAGATAGCTAGTGGGAACCTGCTGTATAGCACAGGGAGATCAGCTCGGTGCTCTGTGATGACCTAGACGGGTGGGATGTGGGGGCGGATATATGTCTACATATAGCTGATGCATTTCATTGTACAGCAGAAACTTAACAACATTGTAAAGCAATTTTACTCCAATTAAAAAATAATAATAAAAATAAAAGTTTTTATTTTACCTTCACTTATTCCTTCTTCAGTGTTCTTCCTTTCTTTATGTAGATTCAGTTTTCTGATCCATATTATTTTCCTTCTCTCTAAAGAACTTCTTGCAAGGCAGATCTACTGGCAACAAATCCCCTCAATTTTTATTTGTCTGAGAGTCTTTATTTCTCCTTCATTTTGGAGGATAATTTTGCAGGGTACAGAATTCTAAGTTGGTGGTTTATTTCTCTCAACACCTTAAATATTTCCCTCCACTCTCTTTCTGCTTGCATGGTTTCTGAGGAGAAGTCTGTGTAATTCTTATTTTTGTTCCTCTGTAGGTATGGTGTTTCTTTCCTCTGGCTTCTTTCAGGATATTTTCTGTATGTTGGATTTTCTGTAATTTGAAAATGACATGCTGACGTGTAGTTGTTTGGGGTATTTACCCTGCTGGGTGTTTTCTGAGCTTCCTGGATCTGTAGCTTGGTGTCTGACATTAATTTGGGGGAAATTCTCAGTCATTGTTTCAAGTATTTCCTTCTGTTGCTCCTCTTTCTTCTCCTTCTGGAATCACCATTATGCACATGTTACACATTTTATAGTTGTCCCACAGACTGTGGATATTCTGTTCTGTTTTTTGGGTGTTTTTTTTTTAAGTCTTTGTTCTCTTTGTTTTTGGGTTTTCAAGGGTTCTCTTGAAATAATACTCTTGCTCAGAGATGCTGTCCTCAAACATGTCCAGTCTACTAATAAGCACACCAAAGACATTCTTGATTAATGTTACAGTGTTTATCTCCAGCATTTCTTTTTGGATCTTAGGATTTCCATCTCCGCTTACCTTGCCCATCTGTTCTTGCATGCTGTCTGCTTTCCCCATTAGAGCCCTGAGCATATTAATCATACTTGTTTTAAATTCCCTGTCTGATAATTCCAACATCCCCACCATGTCTGGTTCTGATGGTTTCTCTGTCTCTTCAAAGTGTGTTTTTTGGGGGGCTTCCCTGGTGGCGCAGTGGTTGAGAGTCCACCTGCCAATGCAGGGGACACAGGTTTGTGCCCCGGTCTGGGAAGATCCCACATGCCGCGGAGCGGCGGGGCCCGTGAGCCATGGCCGCTGAGCCTGCGCGTCCAGAGCCTGCGCTCTGCAACGGGAGGGGCCACAACAGTGAGAGGCCCGCGTACCGTCAAAAAAAAAAAAAAGTGTGTTCTTTTTTTTTTTGCCTTTTGATATGCCTTGTAATTCTTTCTTTCTTTTTTTTAAAGAAATAAGATTCTTTTTTAAAAAATAAATTTATTTATTTATTTTTATTTTTGGCTGCATTGGGTCTTCGTTGCTGCACGCGAGCTTTTCTCTGGTTGCGGCGACCAGGGGCTACTCTTCGTTGCAGTGCGCGGGCTCTTCGTTGTGGTGGCTTCTCTTGTTGCAGAGCATGGGCCCTAGGCGTGGGGGCTTCAGTAGTTGCATCACTTGGGCTCAGTAGTTGTGGCTCACAAGCTCTAGAGCACAGGCTCAGTAGTTGTGGCACACGGGCTTAGTTGTTCCGTGGCATGTGGGATCTTCCTGGACCAGGGCTCGAACCCATGTCCCCTGCATTGGCAGGCAGATTCTTAACCACTGCACCACCAGGGAAGTCCTGTAATTCTTTCTTGATAGACGCACATGATGTACCGGGTGAAAGGACCTGCTGTCAATAGGCCTTTAGTGATGTGGTGGTGAGGAGTGGGCGAGTCCTGTGATTGGGGCTCTGCCTTGCATTGAGCCTGTGCCTCTGGGCTGTGAACTTCACAGCTGTTTCAGATTCTTCCTCTCACCTCAGGTGGAACAGGAGGACTACAGGGGCCTGGAGTTGGGTGTTTCCCGCACCCCCCCCCCAATTAAATTACTGAGTTTAAAGTCACTTGAAAGCATCCCCAGACTTCCCTGGTGGTGCAGTGGTTAAGAACCCACCTGCCAGTGCAGGGGACATTGGTTTGATCCCTGGTCAAGGAAGATCCCACATGCCGCGGAGCAACTAAGCCCGTGCGCCACAACTACTGAAGCCCACGCACCTGGAGCCCATGCTGCACGACAGGAGAAGGCACCGCAATGAGAAGCCTGTGCACCGCTACGAAGAGTAGCCCCCCCCGCTTGCCGCAACTAGAGAAAGCCCACGCACAGCAACGGAGACCCAACCCAAACAAAAACAAAAACAAAAAATCCTCAATAAAGAACTTAAAAAAAAAAAGAAAAGAAATAAAGCATTCATTCTCCTCTGGTGGTTATGCTACCAAGTTGATATATGATTAGGTTCCATCGCGTCATTTTATTTTTGATTTCTAGGGCTTGTTCTTTTCTTCTGACTTAATTTTGTTTCATAATGATGTATGATTCCAAACTCAAAGCTACAAAATGAAGAGGTGAACTCTTAGTGAACTCCAGCTTCCAACCCTGTCCCCTCTGCCCCGTTTCCTCCGTAGGAAACTATTGTCTTTAAAATCAACTCCTTCCTTGCCCCTCTCTTTATCCCCTTACCCTGATTCATTTTCCTTTTATACATCTTATCACTGCCTGGTATTATTACCTTCTTTCACTACTAGAATGTATGCTTCATGAGAATAGTGACCAAAGTAAATGTATTTCTCAGTTCCATGTATGGCCATTCAAAAGGATATTTGTGATTATTTTTTTCCTTTTTGAGTATTTTGAGGTTACCATAGTTTATTTTATTTTAAAAAATTTATATTATTTGGTCAACACTGCTATTTCACATCAACACATATGAATTATACCTTTGCAGCCATGTAAAGGTCACACAGGGCAGTATGATCTAGTGGGTGTAGAGGTGACAGGCCCCTGTGTTCTGAGCTGTGCTCTATTCCCTTAGACGAGTGATGTCTGAGCATGAAGATGGCCTGTGGCATCTGTGTCCAAGAGGCCCCAGTTTCATGATATCTTGTTCAGCTACCCGTGCAAGACACAGGAGAGTGTCACGCAGGAGTGTGGGTGCTCCAGCATTAGAGTGAATTAGACTTCGGATACAGGCAGCTGTACTAGAATGTGACACACGTTCCTAAAAGTCACCACACCCTGCAAAGTAGTTCAGCAAAACCCACAGAGTTTACGGGCAAATTGGGATTAGGAGCACAACACTCAAAACCTTTGTCCATGGCACATGAAAAGGAACATGATAAAAACAGCACAGGTTTTGCACATGTTAAAAGGTGAAGAAATATGTATACACTGCAATAAGTATGACACTTACCCTGAAAAGACCTGATGTTGGCAGCCTGTGAATTCAGCTGGGTGCAGTGTTCCGTGCTCACCTGTTGTTACTCATGGGCAAAATCACAACATAAGCAAATGGTAAATTCGTACTGTGATCAGATTGTTTCCTAATAGTCATGTTGGAACAATATATATACATTTTTTAAACAGGTGGTATAGCAGAACTGACTGTATTTTTCTCTTTTTCCTTTAGATGATATGCCGATGGGTACTGCTGGCAGACGTGCTTCTAATGAGTTCTTGGTGTGTGGAGGGTATGTTTGCATATATTTCACTAAACATTTTTTCATATTTTTTGTGTGTGTGAGTAAAGTTATAGAACTCTGTGTTCTTGATGTAAAATTTATTTTATTTCACAATCTATTCTTTAAAAACTTTTTAAATTGTGTTAAAAAACATAAAATCTGCCATCTTAACCATTTTTCAGTTTGAGTTCAATAATAGCATTAAGTATATCCACAATGTTGTGGAACAGGTCTCCATATACTTATTTTTTTTTAATATACATTTATTTATTTGTGTATTTATTTTGGGCTGTGTTGGGTCTTCATTGCTGCGCACCGGCTTTCTTTAGTTGTGTCGAGCGGGGGCTTCTCATTGAGGTGGCTTCTCTTGTTCCAGAGCACGGACTCTAGGCGCACAGGCTTCAGTAGTCGTGGCACGTGGGCTTAGTAGTTGCAGCTCGCGGGCTCTAGAGCACAGGCTCAGTAGTTGTGGCACACGGGCTAAGTTGCTCTGCAGCATGTGGGGTCTTCCCAGACCAGGGCTTGAACCCATGTACCCTGCATTTGCAGGCAGATTCTTAACCACTGCACCACCAGGGAAGTCCCTCCGTATACTTTTATATGGTTATATATTACACTGTTATATTTAGATCTTTAATGTATTTTTAGCTGATTTTTGTATACGGCATAAGGTAAGGGTCCAGTTTCATTTTTTGCATGTGGATGTCTAGTTTTCCCAGCACCATTTGCTGAAGAGAATGTCCTTTCTCCATTGAGTGGTGGTGGCACCCTTGTCATAGATCATTTGTCCATGTATGCAAGTATTTGTTTCTGGGCTCTCTGTTCTGCTCTACTGGTCTATAGATCTGTCTTTATGCCAGTGCCACACTGTTTTGATTACTGTAGCTTTGTAATATGGTTTTTAAAAAAGTTATTTATTTTTGGCTGTGTTGGGTCTTCCTTGCTGCGCACGGGCTTCCTCTAGTTGTGGCAAGCAGGGGCTACTCTTCAGTGCGGTGCGCGGGCTTCTCATTGTGGTAGCCTCTCTTGTTGTGGAGCATGAGCTCTAGAGTGCAGGCTCAGTAGTTGTGGTGCACGAACTTAGTTGCTCTGCAGCATGTGGGATCTTCCCGGACCAGGGCTCGAACCTGTTTCCCCTGCCTTGACAGGCGGATTCTTAACACCCGCGCCACCAGAGAAGTCCTGAAATATGTTTTTAAATAAAAAAGTATGAGACCTCCAGGAATTCCCTGGTGGTCCAATGGTTAGAACTCAGTGCTTTCACTGCTGTGGGCCTGGGTTCAGTCCCTGGTTGGGGAACTAAGATCCCACAAGCCGTGTGGCACAGCAAATAAATAAATAAAAAGAAGAAGTATGAGACCTCTAATTTTATTCTTCTTTTCCAAGATTATTTTGACTATTCAGGGTCCTTACAGATTCCATATGAATTCTAGGATAGATTTTTTTTATTTTTCTAGTTATGCAAAAATTGCCATTGGGATTTTTTTTTTTTAAACATCTTTATTGGAGTATAATTGCTTTACAATGGTGTGTTAGTTTCTGCTTTGTAACACAGTGAGTCAGTTATAAACATACATATGTATATACATATGTTCCCATATCTCTTCCCTCTTGCGTCTCCTTCCCTCCCACCCTCCCCATCCCACTCCTCTAGGTGGTCACAAACCACCGAGCTGATCTCCCTGTGCAATGCGGCTGCTTCCCACTAGCTATCTGTTTTACATTTGGTAGTGTATATATGTCCATGCCACTCTCTCACTTTGTCACAGCTTACTCTTCCCCCTCCCCACCGTTGGGATTTTGATAGGGATTGCACTGATCCATATAAAACACTTTGGGTAGTACTATTGACAGCTTAAATACTAAGTCATCCCATCTATGGAAATGAGATGTCTTCTTTAATTTCTTTTAGCAGTGTTTTGTAGTTTTCAGCATACAAGTCTTTCGTCTCCTTGGCTAGACTTACTCCTCAGTATTTTATTCTTTTTGATACTATTGTTGGTGAGATTGTTTTCTTAATTTTCTTTTGGGATTGTTCATTTTTAGTAAATGGAAATACAGCTGATTTGTGGGTGTTGATCTTGTATCCTGCACCTTTGCTGAGTTTGCTAGCTCTAATATGTTTTGGGTTTTTTTTACATGTGAAGTCTTTAGAGTTTTCTACATTTAAGGTCATGTTATCTGTGAACAGAGATAATTTTACTTCTTCCTTTCCAGTTTGAAAGTCTTTAATTTCTTTTTCTTGCCTAGTTGCTCTGGCTGGGAATTCTACATTGAATAGAAGTGTTGAGAGTGGCCATTCTTGTCTCATTACTGATCGTAGAAGAAAGGCTTTCTGTCTTTCACCACTGAGTATGCTGTTAGCTGTGGGCTTTTCATATATGACCTTTATTATATTGAGGTAATTTCCTTCTGTTCCTATTTTATTTAGTGGTTTTATCATGAAAGGGTGTTGGATTTTGACAAATGCTCTTTCTGCATCAATTGCAATGATCATGTGATTTTTGTCCTTGTTCTGTTAATGGTGGTATACTGTAAATCCCATTTGGTCATGGTGTTTGATCCTTTTAAGGTGCTGTTGAATTTGGTTTGCTAGTATTTTGTTGAGGATTTTCACATCAAATTTCATCAGGGATATTCTGTAGTTTTCTTGTAGTGTCTGTGTCTGGCTTTGGTACTAGGGTAATGCTGAACTCATGGAATGAGTTGGGGAGTGTTCCCTCCTCTTCAAATTTTTGGAAGAGTTTGGGTGTTTGTGTTAAGTCTTTAACTGTTCGATAGAATTCACCAGTGAAGCCATCTGGTCCTAGACTTTTCTTTGTTGGGAGGTTTTCAGTTACTGATTCAGTCTCATTACTAGTAATGGGTCTGTTCACATTTTCTTTCTTCATGATCCAGTCTTGGTAGTTTGTGTATTTGTAGGATTTTTTCTGTATCTTCTAGGTTATCAGTTTGTTGGTAAGCAATTGTTCATAGTATTCTCTTAAAATCCTTTTTTATTTCTGTGGCACTAGTTATGTCCCTTCTTTCCTTTCTGATTTTGAGTCTTTTCTCTTTTATCCTTAGTTAATCTTGCTAAGGGTTTGTCAATTTCATTGATTTTTATTTAAAAAAAATAAACCAACTCTTAGTTTTCTTGACTTTTTTCTGTTGTTCTTCCATTTTCTCAGTTTTCTTTACCTCTCCTCTAATCTTTATTATTTCCTTCCCTCAAGTGGAAGACAACCAGAATCTTAGAAAAAGAGTTCTGAATAAATCAAGATACATAATCTGTATATGTTCTGCCATCTACTTGTTATTTCCTTCCTCCTGCTAGCTTTGAGTTTAGTTGTCTTCTTTTTCTAGTTCCTTGAGGGATAGAGTTAGGTTGTTGATTTGAGACCTTTTCGAATGTGAGATATAGACTTCATCTTAGCACTACTTTGACTGTATCCCATAAGTTTTGGTACATTGTGTTTTCATTTTTCTTTTTCTCAGGTTATTTGCTGATTTTTTCCGAGATTTCTTCTTCGACCCATAGGTTGTTTAAGAGTTGTGTTGCTTAGTTTCCATGTGTTTGTGGATTTTCTAGTTTTCCTTCTGCTGTTGATTTCTAGTTTCTATCCTTTGTGATTGATTGGAAAAGATACTTTGTATGATTTAAATTTGTTAAGATATGTTTTGTGGCCTACCATGTGGTACGTCCTGGAGAATGTTTCCAGTGCATCAGAGAAAAATGTGTTCTGTCAGTGGGGGGAGTGTTCTGCAGCATCTGTTAGGTCCTGTTGTCTGTGGTGCTGTTCAGGCGGTTGTTTCTTTATTGGTCTTCCATCTGGTTGTTCTATCCATGATTGAGGGTGTGGGTTCAGCCTGCGATTATTTTTGTAGAATTGTCTTTTTTCCCTTCAAGTCTGTTATGTATGTGCCTCATATATGTGGTAGTGCTGATGTTTGGTGCATGAATACATATAATTGGTATGTCTTCATGGTTAATTGACCCTTGTATCATTATATAATGTCCTTTTTTTGTTTCTTATAACAGCATCTGACTGAAAGTCTATTTTGTCTGATGTTAATGTAGCCACCCCTGCTCTCCTTTGGGTACCATTTGCATGGAATATCTCTTTCCATCCTTTCACTTCCAGCCTAATAGGGAAAGATTTATTACTGCCATTTTGTTACTTTTCTGTATGTCTTGTGGCTCTTTTGTCCCTCATTTCCTCTCTTACTACCTTTGTATTTTGTTGTTTTTTTGAGTACTGATATGCTTTGATTCTCTTCTCATTTCCTATTGTGTATATTCTGTAGGTATATTCGTTGAGGTTACCATTGAGATTATATAAAATAAAGTTATAACAATCTATTTGAAACTGATAACTTCAATCACATAAAAACTCTACTCGTAGGGCTTCCCTGGTGGCGCAGTGGTTGAGAATCTGCCTGCCAATGCAGGGGACACAGGTTCGAGCCCTGGTCTGGGAAGATCCCACATGCCATGGAGCAACTGGGCCCGTGAGCCACAATTACTGAGCCTGCGCGTCTGGAGCCTGTGCTCCGCAACAACAGAGGCCGCGATAGTGAGAGGCCTGCGCACCGCAATGAAGAGTGACCCCCACTTGCCACAACTAGAGAAAGCCCATGCACAGAAACGAAGACCCAACACAGCCATAATAAATAAATAAATAAATACATTATTAAAAAACAACAACAACAACAACAACAACAAAACTCTACTCGTATAGAGTATAAGAGTATACTGCCCCCTACCTTTATGTTACTGATGTCCCAGATTACATCTTTATTTAGTGTACCCATTAATATCTAGATGTATAATTTGGGAGTACTTTTGTCTCTTAGATTCTTTTTTTTTTTTTAATATTTATTTGTTCATTCATGCATGCATGCTGTGCTGGGTCTTAGTTGAGACATGGGGGATCTAGTTCCCTGAACAGGGATCCAGCCCAGGCCCCCTGCATTGGGAGCGCAGAGTCTTAACTGCTGGACCACCCAGGAAGTCCCTAGATTTTCTTTTTATTTAAATATGACGTAATGGTTCCAAAAGTTCTAAAGTGACACTTTAGAAGATAATCATATTGTTTGTTTTGGTAACTAAATAAATCATCTCTTTATCTCTGTAAGGTTGTAACTGGGCAAAAATGAGAGAGATTGTGGCTTTTTTAGAATTACAGAAGGGCAAAAGAAGGAAATAACTCATCTTTCTTAAGGCCCAGTACTGTCCCTGATGTTTTAAGGTATGTTGTAAATTGAATTGAAAGTCATCTAAGGACATGCTGTTTCTGAATTTATGAAAAGCAAGGAAAGAAACCAGCTACACTACAAAATGTGGACCTCAGATGGGTTATGTGCAGGGAGAGTCACACAGTGTATTTTCAGTCTTTATCAAAGTCCAAGTTCCTTGGGAACGCTTACTGCACTCATAACTTTGTAAACATTCCAGTCATCTCTACTCTTGAACTTCCTGTTCTTGTACCCAGCATATTTTCCTAGAAGTATTTTTCCTCTTGCATGAGGAGTGAAGAGCAGAGTGTGAGCAGATGAAGCTGCGTTTTGCGGCCTGTGGCTCTTCCTGTTGTTGCAGAGGGGCCTCTGTCCCCTTCTTACAAGCCTTCCTCCTCAGTGTGCATGTGCAGGCCAGTAGACCTCTGTAAAGGACAAGTGTGGGTTTTTTGGCTTTATGTATATATATATATTTTTTAATTAAAACATCCTTGCTTTCCTTTTTAAAATTTAATTTAATTAATTTATTTATTTATTTATGGCCGTGTTGGGTCTTCGTTTCTGTGTGTGGGCTTTCTCTAGTTGCGGCGAGCGTGGGCCACTCTTCATTGCGGTGCGCGGGCCTCTCACTGTCGTGACCTCTCTTATTGCAGAGCACGAGCTCCAGACGCGCAGGCTCAGCAGTTGTGGCTCACGGGCCCAGCCGCTCGGCGGCATGTGGGATCTTCCCAGACCAGGGCTCAAACCCGTGTCCCCTGCACTGGCACGCAGATTCTCAACCACTGCGCCACCAGGGAAGCCCTATGTATATTTTCAAGATGATCATTTTTTATTCACATTCGGAAGTGATCATTTGGCTTCTTACAGAATTTCCTCTAAATACCACCAATGCGTCAGATGAAAGGAAAGCGGTCTCACTTGTATTTCTTTCCTTTTTCAATGAATGATGTCTGCAGGCAGTGTCAGCCCACTGTGTCCCCTCACAGTGCAGCCACCCCCATTCCCGTCCCTACTCAGATAAGGAACTACCAGCGCATAGAGCAGAACCTCACCTCCACTGCCAGCTCTGGCACAAGTCCGCATGGCTCTCCAAGGTAAGCCAGCAGTTGCTCCCTTTCCCAGTTCTTCTTCCTTTCTTTTAAAATTGTTGTTGTTGTGATTGAAACATCTGTTAATTCCCATGGTCGGCTTAGACTCTTACGTATGTGTATAATGGAGATGTACAAAATTGAATAGTAATAAATTTTTTTGTAATGGATCTATTTAAATGATATTTAAGCTTGGCTGGGTAATTAATATAGTATGAGATATATATATATATTTGTCCACAAGTATAATTATTTTTAAGAATTGAGGAAGAACTTGTTAAAAAATGAAATCTCACCAGTTTTAGCAGAGACTATGTACATATTATTTATTTCTCCCACATCCTAAAACCCCACTCAAGTAGAAAAGGAATGACAAAGGTATAAGTTCACAAAGACAAGTAAAACGAGAATGAGTATCGAGTGGGTGACCGCTTCCGACGCATTTCTGGAAGTGAGAAAGAGAACAATGGAGGGGTGCCTGCTGTCGCCACCGGGCAGGGTAAGTGTGTGAGTGAGCAGGCGGGGCTCAGGCAAAACAGGGCAGCCGGAGTCATAGGTCAGGCGGGGCGGACGGCTGACAGCAGGAGAGCTGCATCTGGAGGAAAGCGCATGAGTGCAAAGAGAGGAAAACTTACGTGAAGAGCTAGTACCTTAGAGCTAGCTTAGAGACTGCATCTGTAAGTAAGGACGAAATGCTGCTGAAAACAAGCGAAGTAAAAAAGACCTCTTGGACATTCCAAAGTAGAATAACTGAACCAAACACAAGTAAATGTTGGAAGACAGAGTTGAGGAAATATTTGAAATAGAGAATCAAATCAAGAAGATGGAAAGTGTGAATTAATAACACTCTTCAAGGATTAATTAGTTCAGGCATTCTAGAAAGAAAACTAATAGCGAGGAAGAAGATCTCCAAGAAATGATTCAGAAAGTTTTTTCCAGAATTGGAGGAGACAAGATTTTAGATTAAAAGGACCCACCAAAGGAATAGCTCAGTGAATGGAAAAGGATCCTCACCGTCTTGTGCGAAAACTTCTAGGAAGAGTATTTGGCAATATCTGTGAAAATCAGTAATGCATATATCCTTTGACCCATCAGTCAGCTTCTGGTAACTTATTCTAAGATATATATTCCTTGGCTGTGTATAAAATCGTATGTATACAAAGTGGTTAGTTGTTAAAATAGCAAAGGATGAGCAATAAGCCCAGTGCCCACCAGTAAGGGACGGATCTATTCTGATCCATCTGTGACAGTGGAACACCTTCCAGAGAGAGTCAGGAAGCTCTCTGTGTGGCGAGGTAGGGCGGTTTCCAAGGTACATTGTAAAATGAAAACAGCAAAGTGAATAACAGTGCACTAGCAGTGGTTCTCAAAGTGTGGTCTGCGGCTCCATTTCAGAGGGTCCATGAGCTGGAGACTGTTTCCATAGTAATTCCAGGATACTGTTTGCTTTCTTCACTGCGCTGACACGTGCACTGTTGGTGTGAACACAGTGATGGGAAAGCTGCTGGTGCCTCAGGGACAGGTCACGGGAGTGGCTCCCGTTCTGCTGTTAGCCCTGGTCTCTACCTCCACACACCTGTAGTACCGAGGAGTGTCTTTAGTGAAACAGTGAAAGGTATTATCTCTCTTTGAAAATCTCCACCTTGAGTGGAAAGTAGGCATAAAGCACCTTTGCTGCACATCGGAGTAGTGGTCCTAAGGAAAAGCACTTGTATGGTTGTTTTCATTGTGAGCTGACTTTTAGCCACTTTGTCATGGAACACCTGGTGCTTGAGAGGACAGCTGTGGCTGTGGTGTTGACAGCCATTTTGTCAAAAGTGAACTAAGTTGGTGGTGATATTTTGATATGAATGTGACTTTTTGATATTGTATAATGCGTCAGCGTTTGGAATATCTGCATAACTCTGTCAACCAGTATTTTCCAAATGACCAAATTTTTAAAAAAACACACATAGATATAAGATCCATTCCAAGTACAAGATACTTTTGCCAGAGAATGGAGTTTAATGGAACAGAGTACAGATGTTACCGATGTGGTTTCAGATTCCATATTGCAGCTGATCTTAGAAATGACCACTTGCTGAGTTTTGGGGTAGCATCAAAGAGGAGTGTCACAGTATCTGAAAGGCTACCAAAGTGCTCCTCCTATTTCCAGTTACAAATTTATAAGGCAGTGTTTTCTTCATGTACTTCTCCCAAAATAACACGTATAACAGACTGAATGTAGAAACAGTTATGAATACCCAACTGCCATCTCTTGAGCCAGACATTAGAGATTTGCAAAATGTAAAATAATGTCATGCTTCTCAACAATTTGTTTTGGAAAATATTTTTCATAATCTTGTATCATAAGTTTATTATTTTTAATGAATTAATAATTACAAAAATTTCTCAGTTTTAAGTTCTAGTACCATAAAAATCAATAGATATAATTTGCATAAATAAAAACTCTGGTATCTTCAGTAACTTTAAGAATATAAAGGGGGGCTTCCCTGGTGGCGCAGTGGTTGAGAGTCTGCCTGCCGATGCAGGGGACGCGGGTTCGTGCCCCGGTCCGGGAAGATCCCACATGCCGCGGAGCGGCGGGGCCCGTGAGCCATGGCCGCTGAGCCTGCGCGTCCGGAGCCTGTGCTCCGCAACGGGAGAGGCCACAACAGTGAGAGGCCCGCGTACCGCAAAAAAAGAGAAAAAAAAAGAATATAAAGGGGATCTAAGACAAAAATGTTGAAAATGATTGGTATGGAATCTATTACCTTTGTTTAAAACAAGATGAAAATAAGATGATATATTCAGTTTGCTTGTTTCTGAATTAAGGAACTCTGGAAGGATACATTAGAAACTAAAAATAATGGTAACCTTTTGAGCAGGATTGAGGAAGTGTTGGGAATTAGGTAGATGGATACAAGGGTGGGAGGGAGACCTCACTCTGTATAATTTTATAGGTTTTATGTTTGTTGCATATCACTATGTTCCATATGTTTAAAAAATCTACTCCACGGCATATTGTTAGGAAGTTTTAGGAGAAAAGACAGAAATAAAGTCCTAGAACCTGCCGGTGAGGGAGTAATATTATTTTTCCCTTTAGATCTGCGGTGGTACGAAGGTCTAACACCAGCCCCATGGGCTTCCCCCGGCTGGGATCCTGCTCGCCGGTGCCGGTGGACGCAGTACAGGCGGTCGGACGAAGACTCTCCACGGGGTCTTCCAGGCCTTACTCACCTTCCCCTTCGGGTAAGGAGAATTTATAGCAGTTGTTTCCAACCTTTTTTCATTATGACCAATGCGACATGACACTCTCTTTAGGAACACTGGCTCACGATGGCAGTGAGTCCCAGCTGACTGGGAGCCATATCCCGCCCCTCCAACCCTACCCTGCTCTGATTCCCTCTTGAGAATCTCTGTATAAAGCCATTAAGACCGCTGTCGGAAACAGGATGATATAAATGGATCTTGCGGATAAAAAGCATCTCCACTGGGTTTGGGCTCTAAACACAAACTCAGAAACCCTAGGTGAAAGTACATAAAATGCCTACCCTACTTGGCACTAGGAGTTAGGAGGATTAAAAGGCTAAGTAGAGTACGTGACAGCGCTGGGTTACGTCCACCAGAGGCCTTCCCGCTGCGGGGGCGACCGGGTGGCAGCCCCACTGCGGATCCTCCCACCTCTCCTGGACACCGCGGGGAGCAACATGGGGAGCTCGAAAATAGCCGCCCAAGGCACGCAGGGAGGCCACAAAACAGCCAATCCCAACCCAACAGGGAGACTTCGAACCACATTTTCAGGGGCTTAACTAAGAGAAAACGCTCCAGCTTCAGGACACACGCGAGAGAGGCCAGGGCAACAGAGATCCAGAGTCCGTGGGCAGCGGCCTCCTAGCGGCGACGTGGGGGAGAACGGGAGCAGGGAGGGCAGGCACGCACGGGCGCACACACGCACGGGCGCACACACGCACGGGCGCACACACGCACGCGCATCCAAAGGGGGAGGCCCCACCCCCTCCATCTCCGTCCCGGAGTAGGACTGGGAGGGAGGGGCGCGCCTCGGAAGCAGGCGGAGCGAGCAGGACCGAATCCTCGCCCAGGAACCTCGGTTCACAAAGCAAAAACCACAGTGATAATGTTTTTTAAAAGTTAATGTCACCACTTCCCTGTGGCAGTGGTTTGGACACTACTTTTAGCTGAAAAATCTTCAAGCAAAGTCTTGGCGCGTCCTCGCCCCCTCAGAGGCCCCCGGGCTCCCCGGAGTTTGCGGACGAGGCCCCAACACTTGTTCTCAGGGACGCGGCCCTCCCTCGGGGTCGAGTCTCTGCCCACTGCTCCGCCGCTGCTGGAGACGCACGCCTCTCGTCTACTTGAGCGCCCGGAAGCCTTCCCCGCCTCCCACTCTTGTTAATTCGGGTTCGCAGCGGTAGATGCAAAGAAGGGGGCTGCAGAAATGTGCACGGAGCGCCTGGGCAGCCACTGTGAGGGAGAGCGGGTAGGAAGCAGGGGCCGCAGGGCGCCCCTTCTGACCACCTTGTAGGCCTGACCCCCGGGTCAGAGGGCTGGAAGGAGGGGTGGGCAGGCTCTCGACGGCCAGTGAGTTCTGAGGAGCGTCCCCAGGCACAAGCCACCCAGAGTCCCCGTGACCCACACAGTCAGGCTGGGCCAGCCCAGGGGCAACCTCGGCGGGAGGGGAATGCGGCGGGTGGACGGGCAGCAGCTGGGCCCTGGCAGGTCCACGCCCGAGAGACCCGTCAAAGGTTTGCCTGGCTCTTACCCAGTCTCTGCCCTCCGGGCAGGTCCTGCGGTGCTTTGATCTCAGCGTGCCCAGCACGCTGTGGCTTAGTACGTGCGAGCTGAACTACGTCTTCGCTAGTTAAATTGTGTCAACTGTAATGTACGATCTGTGCATGTGTCGCCTTTTCCACGCTGTATTAGTTGTGAGCCATTTCTCCCTCCTTTACCCTTCCCTTCTTCACAGTTGGCACCATTCCTGAGCAGTTTAGTCAGTGCTGCTGTGGGCATCCTCAGGGCCAGGAATCCAGGAGCAGGAACTGGTCAGGTAGGAGATGGACTCACAATGTTAATAGTTTAAATCTCATCATAAGTGAACTTGAGATATGTTTTTCCAGTCTTAACAAACCAACAGAGTTTACGAGAAGTACTTTCTCTGCTCTCCTGTCTTTTATGCTAATGTGCTCTAGTGTATCATTGCTGGTTGGTTATTGCCCACGTATAGGATTCTTTTATGAGACTAAGTCCTAGGAATTACGCAACTTGGCTAAACTCTGGTTGTTGTCCCATAGATAATGAAAATCAATCTAGAAAATGAAATTTCATTACTTTGATTAATACTGGTTTTGATAAGAGCTACCAGTTAGCATCAGATAAAAAAAAACTATGGATGTTTATTTGCTTTATTATATAAAATATACATGCCTGAAAAGATCTGCGCAAATCACACTTTGATAAGTCCCATTTTATTGTATGTGCATTTGAGGAGTTGGGCAGTTAAAAGGAATGCTCTGTTACTTAGAAAAGCACTCTTGGGACGTCTCTGGTGGCGCAGTGGCTAAGAATCCACCTGCCAACGCAGGGGACACGGGTTTGATCCCTGGTCCGGGGAAGATCCCACATGCCACGGAGCAGCTAAGCCCGTGCGCCGCAACTACTGAAGCCTGCACGACTAGAGCCCATGCTCCACAACAGGAGAGGCCTGTGCACCGCAACGAAGAGTAGCCCCTCATCTCCGCGGCTAGAGAAAGCTTGCGCACAGCAGCAAAGGCCCAACGCAGCTGCAAAAAAAAAAAAAAAAAAAAAAAAAAATTAATCAGAGG